TCCCTTGCTCCCTTGCTCCCTTGCTCCCTTGCTCCCTTGCTCCCTTGCTCCCTTGCTCCCTTGCTCCCTTGCTCCCTTGCTCCCTTGCTCCCTTGAAATAATTCTAGTGCTTTCTTACTAGTCCTCAGTCCTTCCTTCTTTCCAATTCCTTACTTCATTTGTTTTCATTTGTCCTAAGCTATCTGCACCACGGTCAATTGCACTAATGGAGGAAACTGTACCAAACCGAATCATTGTAATTGCACGTCAGGTTGGACTGATGCTAACTGCACTACAAGTAGGTGCCAAAAAAACCTAGGTCATGCATATCAGTTTTAATAATGTATTCATTGTCTGGATTGCTACAAATTAGCTTAAATTTAGTCCTAAAACACAATAGTCACAATATTCGAGCAATTCTATATTGTTTTATGTCTTGCAAACAGAAAAGCCCTTGCGACTAAATGATTCTGTCCACGATTTATATTGATGGGGTTCCTGTGGATTTGGCAGTAAATTTTCGCGCCAAAACGCGCGCGTTCGCCTCCCATTCAGATGTAACTTGATTACTTTGTTTTGTATTTCCAGATGTAAACGAATGTGCTACAAACAATGGTGGTTGTGATCATTACTGTAACGACACCGTAGGTTCCTTTAACTGTTCTTGTGACGTGGGATATACACTACAAGGGAAGACTCGTTGTCAAGGTATTTTAAACGTGTTTCAAGCTTCTTATATGTTTTATTTAGCATACATTTTTTTTCTCACTGACGCCTAAATTGAATTACGTTTGTAAGACAAGTCCTTGCTGAACGGATGATGGTCAAATAGACATTCGAAACTTAAGCTTAACTTCAAACGAGGAAGTCGTAGGTTTTTCTCAGCTGGAGAAAGCCAAATAGTTTGATTTAGAATAGAAGCTTATAAACATGGAGATTTTCTGAGAGAAATATTGGTGGAAGATGGCTGACAGGTACTGCAAATAGAACAAGTGGTTATTTTATACAGACTGTGTTTACCACACAGTTCCAAAGATGATATTTTACTAAATACACCTACTTGCAAAAAGGTTGTCATAGAGAATTTGAAAAATAAACTTTTGGTACATTAGTAAATTTAGCTTCCGAGATCCAGGGACCGGACGTTAACTCGAAATCAGTTGCAGCCAGAGCCTCTCGTTTATTGCTGTTTTACCAAAAAGATCGAACTTGGGCTCTGGATACGCGATTCAAGTTGGGTGGAAGAGGGGACCGCCAAGTAACACAGGCTACCCGTCATGATATTTTTAGTTTGTTTGTACTTTTCATCTTCTACCAGACATCAATGAATGCATAACCAGGAACGACACAGGCTGTCAACAGGTGTGCCTTAATCAGCCAGGGACATACAAGTGTGGATGCTATAATGGCTACATGTTGAATAGCGACAATAAAACTTGCTCAGGTATGTGACAAATATTAACCCAGTACTATGACGTAAGGGGGTGTAGTGGTGGTGTACTAACCTCTTGGATATGTGAGTAGAAGTTATCTACCTTAATAATTTGGTTTTTCTCCTGGTTCTACGGGGTTTCTCTCTGTATGCAAAACCCAAGACGTTACATTCTAATTCCATTTGTTAGTTATCCGTTCCTGAACAAAAGATGTGGTGCTGGTTCATTTTGTTATTTCAATCAACATGGCATCTATAATATTTGTCCTTGTGCATGTGACCTCATAGCAGCCATTTGCTTGACTTAACAAAAGATTGGGGTTGGTTCATTTTGTTTAACATGTCAACCATCATGTCATGTCATTGTCATTGTGCATGTGACGTCATATAGTAGCTATTTTGCCGTTTTGTAAACTAACATGACGGCCATGTCTTTTCTCCTTCCATTCTCATGTGAAGAGATGCACCCTACGAATAACATTCTGGTTTATCTATAGATATTGACGAGTGCTCTATATCTAATGGCACGAAACACGGCTGCGCATATCGTTGTAACAATACAATTGGTAGCTACGAATGTTCCTGTCCATCTGGCTTTCTGCTGACTACAAATCGCAGAGATTGTGCTGGTAAGACTCATTCTGATATGATTATATAAAGCAAGAAACTTCTTCCACGGATTGAGATTCATTCAGCTGATTGATACCAAGCGACAGAATACTCTCTGGTTGATAGCAATTAACGGGCAGCGTTTGCACTCCACTGAAGGCTGATAATAAGATTCATGATGAGATTCATTCAGCTGATTGATACCAAGATATTAAAAGTCTTTTTTATTTTGTTTAGACCATGACGAGTGCATGACGGGTAATAGCACCTGTGAGCAGAAATGTATCAATCATCCAGGACATTACACATGTGACTGTCGCCAAGGTTACAACCTGAATGTACGGGACAACAATACTTGTCTGGGTAAAGTCTAGTTTTTGCTGTATTGTAAACACTGCCATTTTTAGTTTGCATTTACTCAGTGTTAGCCTTGACTGTGTACGAATATGTTCTATTTTTGTATTAAGGTTCATTGTAAAGTAAGGAATGTACGTACTATTGAACAATACGAGTTGATTATAATACCATGGGTTTTGGTTGAATAGCTGAAAATTATAACGCACAACCGAGAATAAGGCTGAGCAAAGAGAACTCGAAACTGGGGTATTAGTTAACTTTCACAAATGGAATTTATTTTCTAAAGAATTGTTTTCTAAACAAATAAGCTTGTAGAGCTTTCTGTTTTTGAGCTGAATTTTTTCCTGATTTCAGACAATGTGACATTCTCTTGAAAATAGGATTCTTTGTTTGAGTTGTGTCTATATTCATGTGTCTTCTCATGAGCACCCGTTAAACAAAGAAATAATACCTAGAGAATGACACGTGATCGATGTCTGAAACGACCGCGACGACAAGCTAAAGAGACCTATAATTATTTCCTACTTTAGACATTGATGAATGTGAGCGTGGTGTATCTGGTTGTGCGCACATGTGTAACAACACCATTGGAGGGTATTATTGCCGATGTCGCACTGGTTATGAGCTTGCAACTAACAACAGGAGTTGTAATGGTATGTATTGTGGCCGTGTATAGATACAGATAGAGCGGAAAAACTCATGAACGGATGTGCTGTGACCGTGCTGTGTCTGCGCAAGCTAACTGAATAACAAGTGATGTCACGTGCCGTGATTGGTTCAAATGACGTCGTCAATTTCGTACCGTCACCGTGCCGTGCGCTGTTATTACTCTATCTTGGATTTTTGGCTTCCATTCAGTGCGTCCACTGCTCTACCGATCGCTTTAGCTTACTAACCACATTTCTGTAACCATTGAATTGCAGACATCAATGAGTGCCAGTTGGGCATCGACGGTTGTTCTCAGCGATGTGTTAACGTGATTGGCAGCTTCTATTGCAGCTGTCGCCATGGTTACTACCTTGACATTGACCTCAAGACATGTATAAGTGAGTGAAAGTTTCGTGAATACGTCTTCAGCAGTGTGATGTAAAACCTATTGTTCTAGGTTTTTGTTCAACTTTATCCATTGTTATATGACGTTGACCGTGCACAGAAAAGGAAAAAGTTGCCCCGTTTGCTGATAATATTCGGGAATATAAAAGTTACCCCTAAAAAGACGCTCTAAAGTTTTCACTTTCAAAATGTTCGTACATGAAAAAAATGACACCAGTGTTTTCAGCCTTACTTGCTTTGGTTCGTTGTGCACGGTCAGTATATCGTAATGGTACGCAAAACAATAGCTTTGTTCTATTGAAGTTCCAAACCATTCCGCTCCGTGAACTACGGTAAAATGCATCCGCTTGTATAGAGTGTTTTCACTTGACGTCAAAGCGGCCATGTTGGTGTGCCAAAACAATATATTTTCTATCCTCGGGGAATTGAACTCTATTTGTATGCAAAAACTGTGCAAAAAATTATTTATTAATTTGATCTAAAATTTCAATTATATTCCCTTAATTTGTGGGCTAATAATGAATATTGGCATTCAGTCCAGCTTTGTTTTGTCTGCAGGCTATCCTTGCCAGCCAATTGCTACTCCACCTTATGGATCAAGGAGCTGTACTGGCTTCAACACAGACGATGTATGTCGATTCTCATGTAAGACAGGCTACGAGTTGATCGGTTCAATGGTCCGTGTGTGTATGTCTGATGCACAGTGGAGTGGCCAGCAACCTCTCTGCGTACAGAAACAGTGCTCGAGTTTGCAACCCCCATATAATGGCTTTGTGAACATTCCTTGTGCTAGTTCGTATGATTCTCAATGTGCTGTAGGATGTAAATCAGGGTATATTTTGAATGGACCATCAGTTACCAAATGCTCGCATGGTGAACAGTGGAAACCATCGATTAGTGAATGCAAAGGTAAATAGTTTGGAAGCAAATAACACATTTCGATTATATTAGACGAATAGATTGTGCTATGGACCAAATCCACTTTGGCGTAATGTTTTCACATTTTAGATCACGTGTCATTCCCTAGAGTATCATTTCTTTGTTTAACGGTTGCGCATGAGAAGATACATGAATATGGATACAACTCATAGAAAGAATCTTATTCTCTAGGAAATGATACAAGGTCAAAAAATATTTTATTTAATATTTTCTTTCAAATCAAGGGCGATGTAGAAGTAGTCATTGCACTTGTATCTCACCTCTGGGGTCTCGGATCATTCCTGGACTCAGTATCACATGTGAAGTGGAGTTTATCTTCCTTTGTGTGAACGTTTTTCTCCGGGTTCTCCGGGTTATTTCTGGCCTCCGCAAAACCTAACATGATATTTTTTTTCTATTTATTCCGTGAGCTAGCCTTATCCTCACTTAGGTCACTCGAGAGGTTGTTTTAGGGTTCGATCTGGGAGTTAGCCGTGACCTGACTTAGATCAGTCCAGAAATAGTTTCAGAGTTTGACCTGTGAGTTAGCCGTGTCCTGATCATGACTTTGATCAGCCCAGAATAGTTTCAGAGTTTGACCTGTGAGTTAGCCGTGCCCTGCTGATCTTGACTTTGATCAGCCCAGAGATTGTTTATATTTTTTCATCATGCTGACTCAATTCTCTGATCTCATTCAGTTGCAGGGTTGTGCCAGTACAAACCTTGCAAAAATGGTGGCGTTTGATTCTTAGTGAATGCCACCACAATCCAGTGCAATTGTACGAACACTGGCTTCAAGGGACCCTTCTGCGATCAAGGGCAAGTAATGACGCCCAACTATCCAACTCTGACACCAGGAAACCGTGCCAATGTTACCTTCGTCTTCAGCTCCCCTACTAAACCAGTCGTATTTACTCCTTTGTCAAATAAAATCTTATTCAACCCGAGTTCTTGTCTCATCGATCCAAACAAGACGAAGAATGGAGAACCTTTTGTAACTATAAATATGACTGTCTCTTCTGTTGTCATTGGTGATCATCTTGTGAAATACAGTCTTTCTGGACCGGACAGCTATATTTACAACATGCCTTCTCCCGATGTGGTATCAGTTGTAGGGCACAACTCTTCTTGTGGTTCAAACCAAACGTTTCCAAAGGGATGCTACACACTTGAGTATCGGGAATGCACCGGGATAAATGCTAGTGTTGTTCTGTATTCCACGTCCCAATGGAAATACATTGGAAAAGGTATTGCTACAGATGGGATCGTAAGTCTAAACAACCTCCCAGTTTCAACCTCAGGAATAAACCTTCCAAGTGGGAAAGCCATTCAAGGATCTTCAGTGACATCTTGCTCATCGGATTCGTCAAAATCCAAATGCTCTTTGTCAAGTATTTTTGCGACACAATTTCTCCACTCAGTTGGTACGAGTTTTCCATCATGGTTTGGTATTCGCACTACGCGAACATCTGACTACAACATTAATGACGTACAGACATATCTCTGGACGGGCAAGCAGCTGCTCAGTGTTATTGGGAATGACAAAGTTACCGTCGGAGCTGATAAGCTGTTCTCTGTATTACTTATTACCGATGAAACAATACTACAAGTCAGGCAAAGTACTTTACGTCTTTCACCATCGACGAAGTCCAAACCCCATGTGGTTGCAGTTGAACTCTGCTCAAAGACAGAGAGACCGAATGTGATCGTGGCCTTGAGTTTACTCTCTTTCTATCAAATACAAACCATGGACATGCAGAAGATATTTGGTTCATCGGGTTGGCAATTGTCGTTTATTTATGTGCAATTCTCTTTGGACAAAACCATTTCACGCAGTGAATTTTTGGATTCACAGCAACCGCTTGTCGGTAATTTGGAACTATTCGGTGGTTTAAACGCCACATTGAAGAATAATGAAAGCATTGTTGTCAGAGGAAGCACACTTTTTGATGCAGATATAGAAAAGGTAAGACTGTGACGTTGTCTATAGGTGACGTATTGTGCATCTCTGTAGCAAGACATAACCTGCGCCATGTTAGTTGACATGAAACCAAAACCAAATCTTTCGTTAAGTCAAGCAATTGGCTGCTATGAGGTCACATGCACAAAGACAAAAGTTATAGACGCCATGTTGATTGACATAACAAAAAGAACCAACACCAATCTTCTGTTAGAGTCAACCCAAATAGCTGCTATGATGTCACATGCACAAGGGCAAATGACTTGGCCGCCAAGTTAGTTCACATGACGATAGATAGTTTTTTCCCAGTAGGGGGAGGGGTGGGAAGCGGCTGTACACAGGCTATATATACCAAGTGGGGTGCATCTATTCACATGAGAATGGAAGGACAAAAGACATGGCCACCATTGCATGTTGATTGACATGCTAAACAAAATGAATCAACACCAATCTTTTGTTCGAGTCAACCAACATGGCGGCTATGATGTCACATGCACAACGACAAAAGACTTGATCGCCAAGGTGATTGAAATAACAGGACCAATTTCTGTTCAAGTCATCCATCGTGAAACCATTATTCATAACACATTTACCCCAAGATCCGCAAAACCCTGAAAAAACTTGTCGTCAGCTTTTTTCCTTGCCCCATTTTCAACTTTTCCCAGTTAACTTAATCTAATTTGTTTGTTTAGTTGTCCAATGCCTTACCTTCCCAATGGCAAGCTGATGTACGAGGTGCTATTACCATATCCATGTTTGTAGACTATCAGTCTGGACCTGAACCTTTGATAATAGAATTCTCCAAAATTAAATCAAGTATTAAGCATCAAGGTACGTATAAAGATCGATGTAAGGCCAAATAAGCATGATGTGCTTGATGAACTTCTAAATACCAATTGAAAGTCGCAGAATTAAATATCAAAAGCGTTGGATGTATGGCTCTCACTGTTCAAAGGTGCGTGGTGGCGGTGGTTGTGGTGTGTGTTGTTAGGGAAGGAGGGAAGAAAGTTGTGGCAAGGCGCCATTTGTGTAAGAATGTTAATGTGTTGTTTTGGCTTGTCTCTATGGTTTTTTCATGTTTTTTTGCTTCAACAACGATGAAGCAGAAAAATCAGAAAAAGCGATGTCAACAATTAAATTATCATACTGCCTATACTACTATGATTCCTTTATTTTACCAGAGTCGTTGGTTGATACAAACAGTGGATGCAGACAAGATGGACAAACTAATATGCTAATCAAGGGCTTGTTAAATGGAAAAACCTTGAACTCAAGTACTATTTCCTCGTACCTTGAGGTGACCGACAACATGCAGGCGTTTGCATCCATCAACATGAAAAAGAACCATTACAACTTCAAGCACAAGGAGAACGATACCAATAATAATGGCACCAATAATAATGGCCCCAATAATAATGGCACCAATAATAATGGCACCAATAATAATGGCACCAATAATAATGGCACCAATAATAATGGCACCAATAATAATGGCACCAATNAATAATAATGGCACCAATAATAATGGCACCAATAATAATGGCACCAATAATAATGGCACCAATAATAATGGCACCAATAATAATGGCACCAATAACAATGGCACCAATAATAACGGCACCGATAATAATGGCCCCAATAATAATGGAACTAATAATAATGGCACAAATAATAATGGCACCAATAACAATGGCACCAATAGCAATGGTACCAATAACAATGGCCCCAATAATAACGGCACCGATAATAATGGTCCCGATAATAATGGCACTAATAATAATGGCACCAATAACAATGGCACCAATAACAATGGCACCAATAACAATGGCACCAATAACAATGGCACCAATAACAATGGCACCAATAACAATGGNAATAACAATGGCACCAATAACAATGGCACCAATAACAATGGCACCAATAACAATGGCACCAATAACAATGGCACCAATAACAATGGCACCAATAATAATGGCTCTAATAACAATGGCACCAATAATAATGGCACCAATAATAATGACACTATTAACAATGGCACCAATAATAATGGCACCAATAATTATGAAATTACCGAATTGGTTCTTTACGTTAATGGTTCGTCTAAATATGGTCCTTTGCGGTTCCCAAACACGACCATCGACATCAAAATCGACAGAATGTTCAAAAACAATTGCAAGCTTTTCAGAGAGACATCTGATAGTGGAGTTCACATATTAAGTACGACGAACAAGGAAACGAAGCTAGGGAACTTCTTTGTATTTGCACCTGATTCTGGTCACTTTTTGGACGTACGTTTGTCGTCTAAAGAATCGTACGGTACGCTGTCCGCCAATGCGCGCTTGTTCGGAGAAGTTATTCCAGTTTCGATAAAAATTCAAAACAGCTCTTTAAGATTCTCCACTGGGGTTAATGTTTTTCAGGAATTTCCAGCGGTTGTGAACGTTTCTGGTAAACTGGAGGCTTGGGAGAAATTGTCGTTAAGGATTCGTGGTTTTTTTGATAATAATTCAGGAGAAAAAGCGTCGTTGCTGTCTGCGATTGAAACAGCCACGAACGAGTACATACAAATTATTGTGACTCAAGTTGGTAAAAGAATGGCTGTTACTCAAAAAGCTCAGAATTTGGCTGAATCAAGAGCAAACAAAACAAAACTCCTCCTAGATACAGCAGAATTGCGGTTGCAAGACGCTAATGCATTGTATTTGGACGCTGTCAGGAATCTTAGTGCGTCGACCAACACATACACGGAGGCAAGGCGACAGTTGTACGTCAATAAAAGTACTGAATTCAACGATACCGTCAAGATCCTTGAAAAACTGTGTGCAATCAATGAATGTCCCTTTGAATGTGTGCCAGGTACTATGTGCTCCATGTGTAATACGAACATCACTGGTAAAATACGTAATCTCTGTCAAGGGGCATGTTATCGTTCTGTCATAGAGAGAACAGCACCGTTTGGGGTTTGGAAAGACTGCAAGAAAAATGTCTGCAAAAATATCACCGCGCAACGAGACAAAATGCAGAAACAGTCGTCTATTAAATGTGGTTTTACATCGGGTTTTGGAGTCTTTCTTTCTAATTTAGAAAAAAGAAGCAAAAGCATTAAAGGTCTCTCGCCGTCCGTTGTCCCAGAGTGGATGTCGCTGCGAATGAAGAATGTCTTAAAATACTATCTGGCAACAGGAAGCATGAGAAAGGCTGAAAAAATGGCAGACGATAGCTTGTCCGAACCTTCAGCGTACAGCAACAGAATGGCCTCTCAAAATACAATGAAATGTCGTAGTGAGAGTGTGAAGTATTGGCAATGTAGTACGATATCTTCTTCGTGCTATACCGACAGCTTTAACTTCCAGTACAAGAATGCTGTATATCCATGCGAAACTTCGTGCGAAACCAAAACTCAGACAGAATCCATATCGACTCCATGCTGCAAAAGAACGACCTGTGTCACTAGAGTCAAGAACATGGCTTGCAGGAAAGGGAATGTATTTTGTCGAATAATTAGAAATACTGCCATTGAAAAACTTTCCCAAGCAAAACAGCTACTTGTTCAGCCCTACAAGAGGCTCTTAGACTTGCAAAGTAATATTTACAAGGCTGAGATTGAGGTAGAGAGAAGAAAAACGAATCTTCAAACTCTGACAACATCACGCGATATCCTTCAAAAAAGCTACGAAAGTACAAGTTTGGCGGCAGAACTTTCTAGAAAAGCTCACTTAAACAATGCAGAAAAGATGCATGATACTTTGATGCTTGCCAAGAAGTGGCAGTCAAAAGCTCAACCAAAACTTGTGGTAGTAACTAATGCATCTTTTGACATTGAGAAAGACTCTGATATTTCGAGTGTCCCAGTAGAAGTCACAACATTCGCGGAGGGAGTTGTAAAGAAGTTCAATATCACGCTGAAATCAAAGTTTTCCAAGTCTTTTCTGCATAATGCATCACGAACGATTGCATCATCTTACTATGGCAAGATTTCTGCAGCTCTGCGTGATGAGTACAAAATGGAGATCCAAGATAAGATAGAAAGCCAAGAAGGAGATAAAAACCAAGGTCTTGATGGTTTGATAAAGTTGAAAAGAAAGTGTTCTTTATCTGTGAATTATGAACGTGGTCTAAGCGAGGTGATGAAGTCACTTTACAATGTTACTCAAAGAATACTTACAGCATTAACAGATGTAACAAAAGTACCTAGTAATGGAGCAAGTAATGACAAGGAGCTGTCTTACGACAGTGACACAGCAAACAAGCTCGGCTTAACAAGCCAAGACATCAATGCTGCAAAGGGAAATATCATAAAACAACAAGAAATTGTCCAGGCAATCTCCATTCTGCAGCTAATAAATGCATCTACTGTTAGTACCCTGCAAGAAGTTGGTGGTCTTGTATTTATGGATTGGTCTGCCGTGATGGAAAAGCTCTTTCATAATTCGGCAACCGAGTGCAATGGATTTATCGACTGCATGGAAGATAACTTAGACAACCTGTTTTACCTTTATGATAATGTAACACTTCACAAAGCCTCGTATCTGAAATCTCAGATAGCTGATATAAGACAAAGTTTCACAGCAATACTAAACAGCTTTAATTTTTCAGCGAACGAAGCTAACGCTAAATCAAAGAGTACACTTGATAAACTTCAAGGAGCAAGAGATTTGGAAACATATTGTGCATCGGGACCTAATATGACGAAGCAGCCAAATGCCATCAATGAAATCAATGTAGGGAATCAGCTTACTCTGAAGTGCTTGGCCGTTGGCACTCCATCTCCTTCTTACCAATGGAAGAAAGACGGTATAGTACTCCAAGGTCGAGTAAAGAATGACCTCTTTTTGGAAAGTCTCAAAAATGAAGATAGCGGTAACTACACCTGCGTTGCGTACAATCATGTGGCGCTAATCGAATCGGCTCCTTCCCTGGTGATAGTACATAGCCCACCAATTATCACAAAGCAGGCTCCATCACAACTGAGTGTGACAATGGACAGTGATTTTTTCCTAGAATGCGAGGCATTGAGCAAATCCCGTCCAATAAAATACCAATGGTACTTTAAAAAAGGACCGAATGACGCCTATGATCAACTTGCTGGTCAGACGTATCCTATTTATTCTGTTAACAGAGCAAATAAGCAGCATCAAGGAATGTACAAGTGTCAAATTAGTAATATTTATGGCAGCATCGATTCTCAGGATACATCTATAACAGTGTTAGACTTTGGGCTTGTACGACCAGGGGTCATTTTCGCTGCAAACATCAGGCTTAGCACAGTCGACCACAAACGTGAATCTAAACAAGGATTGTACAGTGTCGAGAGAGGCATCCAGGAAACAAATTCCGAAGAAACTGTAAATACTTTCCTTCGAAATTGGATCTGTCCGCTAACCTCGTTAACTTCAGACTGCGTGTCTGGAACTCGCCTCAAACGTTGCTACCCAGATGTTAACGGCGCTGGACAGAACGCCACGATTTGCGAGTCGACGTTTGTGGTCCGCAGCACGAACACCGGCTCTTTTAACCTTTCAAATACACAAGCAGAGCAAAATGCAGACAATGTTGAAGATTCTGTAGAACAACTCAATAATGCCGTGACCACTTTACTTAATGCCACCTCAAAAGAGACACACAGCGTTAATATAGGAACGAAGAAGTACGAACTGATGAAGAATAGTGTATCTGCCGTTCGGTTTTTGGGGATCTGTGGACAAGGAAAGAAGTTGTACGACAATGAATACATGTGCAGTAAGTAAACTTACTCGACTTGTTGTTTTATGTGTTGATAAGACATTGACAAGGAGAGGGAGGGGGAGCGGGGGACGAGAGAGTTGAATTCTTTGGAAATTTTTATAAACCCCTTGAAAGAAACGGGTTTGGGTTTTGGGGTTGGGCTCTTATTTGTAGCTCAAATAAGAATGGGAAACGCTCCTTTGGGTAGGTAATCCCATTAACATGTAAGCAGAAATTATAGTAATATAGAAAGAAAATACCAAGAAACCAAGTGCGAGAATAAAAGCTCTTGTCAGTAAACGTTTTCCAGGAGGTTTTCCAAACCAGGAAAGCACCGTTCGATTTTTAGGTTGAAAGCCGGTTACTTAACTCAGTATCACTACAGGAATCAAAGAGGTATAAAAATAAAATTATTACCAACATCCAAGGTTTGAATGAAATTAGGAATTCCAAGACAAATATGCTATTAAAAAAAGAGTCGAAAATCTTATTGGATTCGAAACGTACCAAGGTTCCTCCGTGCTATGTCGCCCAAGACATCCGCAGGCGTTGAGGTGTCGTATGGAATTCGGACGTGATGGAAATTTATGGTTCCGCTACCCGTAGTTACCGTTGCTATGTCCCACAAGCTCGACAAATAAGTTAGAATATCTAAGAATCAGTTAAAACTCTGATCGCGAAAAATTGAGTTATAAATTGCTTCCATCGTTTACTGTCATTTAAGGATAAAGGAAAATCATCTCCTTAATCCTTGTAGTATCTCTTTAATAACCAGATACTGTGTAGTTGTTTGTGGGACAAGATCGTAATTCCACCGGGAAAACCGCGGCAACGGTGATTTGTTCGCTATTGTCTAACAGATGACCATAAATTTAAGGCCTCATTACGTAAAATCAATATAAGAGTTGCGGGACTGCGTGATGGGGGAGGCGGCTATTATTGTATGTAACAATGCGACTTGAATGCCTCTTTCGACTTCAAACACGCTTATGGTCTGACTTCGTTCATCCCAAGGGTTTATCCATGGTTGCGTAAAACTCATTTTGGATATTTGTGTGTTTTTGTTGTTGTTTTTTTCTTAATTGTCCATTTTATTTCTGTTCGTCCCAGTCAACTGTCCTCCTGGTACATTTGGTTCAGAGAACGAAGCAGTCAGTACCTGTACGCCCTGTCCTTTGCATACCTACCAACCCGGTCAGGGACAGTCATCTTGTTTACCATGCCCATCTGGTTTTACCACCAACAGCACAGGCAGCAGGGATATCAGCGATTGTAAAGGTAGTGCATTGGTACTTATAATCAAATAGAGCGAGATTTACTCCAACTGTGTATCCAGTTACTTTATTTTTTAACGTGGTATCGGTCAGCCAGCCAGTCAGCCAGTCAGTCAGTCAGTCAGTCAGCCAGTCAGTGTGTATAATAAACAAAATGTCGCACAATTTTTTCGTACAATTCGGAAATCATAGATACTCGTGATGTTTTGAAAGTTCTCAAATTTTAAAAACTTTCAAAACATCACTTGTACCTATAAATTCCGAATTGTACTCGAAATCGTGCTATTTCATATACAAATTATTAGTCGACTCTTGATTTTCCCAGAATAGAAAAAACCTCATTATTATTCTTAGTTTTAATCTCACATTTAATTTTATCTGTTTATTTTTAAGTCCAATATTCGACTATTACCCCATCTCAGCCACGCCCTTCTACCCCAACGAAGTCGCCCATCACAACAGAAGGGGAGTTGCCTACCAGTGAAGGATCCACAGAGCCGACTGAACCAGCTAAAAATAACAGTCACATTCTTAATCAGAAAGGCCTACGAAGTGAAGGACTATCTTGGAAGATTGCTGTTGGTGTTGCAGTTGGCCTGCTGTGCTTGATAGGTGAGTCGATTGTTTTCAAACCAATGATTAAGAGCACTTTTGCAGTTGCTGTACTCTGAACTCCAACGGGTCCTGAAAAAGTAAAATGCGAGCTGGGATTCGCCTTTATTGTTGTGCTGGGGAGATGGAATTTTATGCACTTGAATTTAGATTCACAAACAAAAAACGAGATTGAGATTTAGGCTGGGACTATGGGACTATGGGATTTGGTCAAAATGGGCGCTGGGAAATGGGATGAGGATCCCTGCTTCAAGACCCTCTTAACAAGTTACAGAGGACTTGATTTCCGGCTTGATATTTTTCTCTTTAAAAATAACTATATAAGGTGTCAGTTTTACGAAAACATTTTCCCAATCCTTCAAAGTTGCAGGATTTTAACCAGTTCTCTTCTGTTGTGCATGCAATTCCTGCTTTTCCAAGGAAAAGAATGAAATGCTTTAGAACCGGTTACTCTCTGGTTTCATTATTTTTACTTGTTGCTAACGATAAATCATTTTTCTTTCCAGTGGTTGTAGTTTTAGGATATATTTATCTAAAGAAGAAACGAGGTCCTCCAATCTCGAAGCCAGAAATCGCCATCCACGAGGAACACTATGACACTCAACCGACTGTTTTCGACAATCCTGTTTTTGATCAGGAAGAAGAGAAAGACAAGCAAAAAGGAATAGAATTGTGTGAAAGTCCATTATACAAATCATTCGATGAAATTCAGGAGGAAGAATCTTTATCCCGAAGTAATCCTTTGTATTTAGCTTTGACAAGCTCCAGCGATGCATAGAGTCTTTTTTACAGTATTCTACCTATATAGGGACGTGGGAGCGTGATTTTTATTGGGGAATGGGATGGGGGGAATAAGTTATATAGAGCAATTGTCAGGCTGCAGCCTTGTCAAATGTATAGCTTTTTTTATAATTTGTAAAGGGGTGCATTTTTTGACTACATTTTTGGTTTGATACTTATATGCTAGCGAAAAAGCTTCATAATTTTAAGCATTTTAAATAGTCAACTAGTTTAAGCTGCGTCGGTACTTTATGAAGCAACAGGACGTGATCTGGAAAGAAATATCTCAAGAAAAGTTGAATATTCCGAAAGAAATGTTGCACGTTTCAACCCCCTTATGAGTTTTACGGTCGTTTCGGACGCAACTCTGTTTTACAATAGAGTGGAGTTTCGGTGGCTATGGTGTGTATCATATGACGACATATCATAATGACGACATATTATAATGATGACATACTATAATGATGACGTACTATAATGATGAAGTATTATAATGATGACGTACTATAATGATGACATATCATAATGATGACGTACTATAATGATAACGTATTATAATGGTGACGCATTATGATGACGTATTATAATGATGGTGTAATAGGTGTATTATAATGATGAACGAATAAACCCTTGAGTAGACATAAATACTTTGTGAGCTTATTTCGTCACTCATTTTCCTTTAACAAGAAGCAAACGTTGCTGGCGACCAAATTTTCGAGGGGTACCACACGAAGTAATCTTTCCAGCAACAAGCAAAACTTTTAAATTAAGAATGCTTATCGATAGAGGCTTTGCACCATCACATGATGGCAGGCATGACAGGAGGCACAATAATGTCTTTTTCGCCTGTGTTAATCATATTAAACCGATGGCATCATGGCTGTAATCACGTGATGGTGCGTGCAAAGCCTCTATTTTGGTCAGCGATACACCTAAAGTCGCTTTAATAGGCCTTTCCGGAATCGAGGGGCTGGGGCCGAGTGAAAATATTCTAGTTTTGTGGCCCGTGGATGCGCACGCAACCTTGAGAAAACGGTCTAATCCGGAAAGGCTATTGTTGAGAGGCGACACACATCATTCGTGGTTCCCAAGTCAGTGAAGTATTCTGACGAACATATGCTCAACGTACCCAAACCTTTAATGAGTTTATTTATTCACATTTCTTAATAAAATAACTGACTTTGTTTTAACCCCAAAATAAGTGGACGTCACATGCAGGCGTCAGTAAATATAAAATAGTTAAATATAAAAATCTAAATTTAAATTAATCGTATGGTCTAAAATGTTGCTGGTTATACATAAAATGCTGCAGCAAAAAGCATTCATCGTTTTCAATTTGATCATAAATCATTATCGATAAAATTTGTTCTGATGTACATCTATTTTTAAAAAGTTGTCGCTATGTTTCCCGCTCATACCAAAACCACTCTACGGCATGTCGTACCGTGTACGTGCTGTAAGTCAGTACTGTATGTTTCCCACTCATACCAAAACCACTCTACGGCATGTCGTACCGTGTACGTACTGTAAGTCAGTACCGCGTATGTTTCCCACTCATACGAACACCACTCTACGGTATTTCGTGCCGTGTACTTGTTGCAAGTCGGTGCCGTATGTTTCCAACTCATACCAAAACCATTCTACGGCATGTCGTGCTGTGTACATGCTGTAAGTCAGTACCGTATGTTTCCAAATCATACCAAAACCATTCTACGGCATTTCGTTCAGTGTACTTGCTGTAAGCCATTACCGTACCTCTTTCCGTCTTAATACTGAATAACCCAATACTTTTTACAGATTTATTTTCCGCCCTTTTAAAAAAAAAAAAAAAAAAAAAAAAAGAAAAGCCCATCTATTTAAAGATTCCAAGCACGCATCATTCTACCTGAAGTTAGCTCCAGTGTGTTTTCTACTAGGTTTGATATTTGGTCGCTTTTTGTTTTGAATCATCGATGAAATTTTCAAGTCTCAGACCATCTTCCCCATTTTCTGTCCTACACTTACTAGTCTACTATATTTTCACTTTGGAGGGTACAGTGTAACCTATAACATACCTATTTACCTTGGACGTAATGTCTTCCCATTCCGCAACACGTATAATACCCTAGATTATCATTTCTTTGTTTAACGGTTGCACATGAGAAGACACATGAATATAGATACAACTTTTAAACAAAGTATCTTATTCTTAAATAATGAATATGTTGTGAAACGGGAAAACATTATGCTCGAGGTAAAGAGGTCTAATCCTATAGAGAAGACAGTGCTCTTCTAACATATCCATAGCAGTGTTATTAGAGTGATTGTACTTGGCCGTGAAAAAAAAAAAAAAAAAAGCATAATACATAGTAGTAGGCACTAATTAAATGGTTTTTTTTTCAATTATCGTTACTCACTAATATATGCATCAAGTGTTGCGCGCTACTGCTCTAAGCGCACGTTCAAGGGGTCAAAAAATGAGTTGTAACAGTTTTAATGGTATTTTTCTTATCAAGCACAATTTTCATTGAATATTCAAGAGCAAGTAGCGTTAAACTAATTCCAAATCAAATAAACCAAAATATAGCAATTTTTACAACCCATGATTGCGGTTTTTGACGGCCCTTGAGCATGCGCTTAGAGCAGTAGCGCGGAACTCTTGATGCATGTATTACACCGTATACAACTTTTTCAGCTTTTCATGGTCCAAGTAAATTCACTCGACTTTAATTTTTGGGGTAAGGTACAGTGTATATGATGCTATGGCTCGGTATCTTTAAATTCTAATAAAATAATTATCGTGATATTTCGTAGAGATAGATCTACATGCTAGCCTCCTTTGCAGACGTTCTTAGTGTCTGTCACGCAACGTTGCGTGACACGAAGAACGTCTATCTAGGAAGCTATCTACATGCCTACCTAGCTGACTTTCAGAGAATCCAATATCTCTAAAGCGTGGCTAATCTCTCCTTCAGGGATCTAGAATACAAACCAGGAGCAGAGATGTTAAATTCTACACTTGGTTACTTTGATCCTTGCCCTTTAAATCATTGTGAGGTAATTTACTTTAACAGATTGTACGAGCATTGTGTGTTAAGATTAATCTTTTAGGAGTAGTCTAGATAATTATGGTGGTGATGAAGAGATGACGGTGATGGTGAAGGCGATGATGTTTATTAAGGCTGTGATGGTGATGATGGTGTTGATAAAGTGACGGTGGTGTTGATGGTGATGGTGTTGATGATGACAATGGCGATGGTGGTGATAATGAAGATGAAAGTGGTGGTGATGGTGATGATGATGCTGCTGCTGGTAGTGATGACAACGGTCTTAAAGATGGTGGTGGTGATGATGAGATAGTGATGATGGTGATAATGTTGATGATGGTGGTGATAATAATAAAAATGATGGTGATGATGATGATAATAATGTTAATAGTGAAGACGATGATTATTTTGTTAGCCACAGCAGACCGACCACGTGTCCAGCCTCACGGTTACGCTCTGGTTACATACCATTTGATGGTCAAATAAGAAAGTGCAGATGTAATAAGTGCTAATATCAGCATCAGCTATTGGCTCTGATACTTGTGCAACAATCCCACACTCCTCTAAAAGGATGACAATTATATCTTATTAAACTAGAAAATAAATAAGCTGTGATTGGATGATATGAAGTGGCGTGCAAGTGCTATCTTTAGACTAAACGATTTCGACACCACAGTAATTTGAGAGGAAAGATAGTAAGAAACATTTTGAAAACCTTTAACTTTATCGATACCCTAGCTGTAACAACGTCTGGGCTGATCAAAGTCAAGGTATGGCCAACTCACAGAACGAATTGGAATTAGCATGTCACGTTTTGCGGAGGGATTGAAAACATCTAACAAGGAAGGAAGGACATCATTAACAACACAACAAAATACCACAAACAACAAAAAATAAATAGCATGCAAACAACAACAACAACAAACAAATGATGTACAAACAAACAAACAGACAAACAGACAGACAGACAAACAGAAAAATGTATTTAGTTTTTGATTTTCATCTCAGGAAACTTCTCTCTGGAACTACAGTCACCCTAACTTTGTGTAAACTAGCTTTTAGTGGTGTCAAGCACATGAAACAGAAGTGCTACTCTCTTGGAATAAATTGTAAACTTGCAGTACCACAACAACCATCTAACCACAGCATGCAATACATAAAGGGGGACCTACCAGGGTATGTCCCAGTGCATATGTACTGATATAATATGCAGTCATTTGAGCATCAGCTAGGGGCTCGGCTACTTGTGCAGCAACACCACTCTCATCTGCAGACAGGCCATGCAATGGTTACAAAACCCACAAAACATTTCTTAATTCAACCTTTATTGCTCAGTCGAAGAAGACAAGTTATAGACCTCTTAGCTTCAACTATTTCAGACCACGAAGCATTCTCTAAAGCATCATTTTTTTGTTTAATGGTTGTACATGAGAAGACACCTGAATATTGATACATCTCAAACAAGTCTTATTCTCAAGAGAATGAAACAAGGTTTGAAATGGGAAAACATTACGTCCAAGGTAAAGAGGTCTATTGCTGGTGGAGAGACTTTATTCTTATAATGATCAAGCAATAAAAACTGGAAAACCCAGAGAAATACCCTCAAATGAGGGGATAGACCCAACAAACTCTACTCAAATATGATGCAGGCTGAGAACTGCTGTGATCAACCCTGAGCACAAAAAGTTAGACACAAGATCATAATTACTACACCAGCCTTGTGTATAAAAGCTTATGACTTGAGACAAAAGTGCATGTGGTAGTCTGATATTTTTTCTTTCGAAACACCTTCCAACTAGTAAAACATCCACATAAGATGCAACTTGCTACCCTAGACAACATTACATCAATTGACACTTTACACCTTAAAAAAAAAATTCTAATTTAAACAGAGAAATAACTCACCGAATCCTAGAGGGGAGTCTCCAATTCTTAACATTCTCCAGCACTCGTCGCTGTTACTTGTGTGAAGCGAACCACTTGGAAACCTATAAGGAAAATCAAAAAGGTGGTTGTACATAGTTGGAAATGGTTTGTAGTGTAATAAAAACAGTTTGTTGCAGTTGTACTGACAAAGCAAGTTGCACTCGGCAATGTTACTTGCAACTTGCCTTGCTATCTTGTTGCATTGATAATAAAGAAACAATGTATTGTACTGTACAGGCAGGATATATTACACTAGGGAATGATTCATGCAACTTCTGACACATAATTGACTATGATGGACTCAAGAGAATGACATGATTTGAAATGAGAAACATTACCCCCAGCTTTAAAGGTGTCTATTCTGAAATAACAAAATTCAATCAGAAGATATCAACACAATGTACCTTGAAAGTGATTCATTGTCCAAGACAAGGGTGATGTCACCTTCGACAATTGACAAATGAAAAAATATTTCATAGCCCTCTGCTAGCTTGGGTTTGGAGCTACAGTACAAACAACAGATATTTGTATTAGCGGAAAATCAGTAGACCTACATGTAATTCGTCTTGGTACAATATTCACTCATTTAAGATTGAGATCGCTGGTCATTGCCTAACATTTTTTTGTTTAAATTATTGTGCAGGAGAAGACACATGAATATGGATACAATGCAAACAAGGAATATTATTTTCAAGGGAATGACACATGCTGTGAGATGGATGAATATTGCAACGCTTGAGATGAATTAGGTCTATTGTGAATTTGTCACTTTTAGCAAATCCCTTGATCTTATCAAGAGTCAGACTAGCCTCTAGAGGCATTTCCACTCTTGTGAATAAATTTAACTCATGACCATGACAGGCCTGCGGCTAGGGGTTGTTTGATGGTTCGAACAAACCCCTTCTCTCCACCTTTGTAGGAGTATGAAATAATGTTTAGCACTATCTTAGGTTTTAAACAAATGGCATAACTAAGATTGGTAGAAAAACGAACCTCCCCATTCAAGTTTCTAGAGACTGGCCTGCATTAAGGACTTCAAAAAGCTAGAGAGCTTCTAGCAATGATAATAAACCAAATAAACTACAGAATATGGTCATTTGAAACATTTGATCCATTTTGGCATAATGTTTGATTATCAGATGACCTTTTTACCTTTATAGCCCCCCAGCCTCACCCCTCCCCCCTCCCCCCTGCAGTCCCTGATAAAGTTATATCCCATTTCAGAACACATTTCATTTGTTTGTGCAACCATTAAACAAAGAAATGATACTGGGAATATGGTCTTAAATTTGGAAATATCATGCTTTAACTAAAGTAGTTTTCTTAGATCATATACACCTATTTCGAAAATTGTTGTCGCACCAAGAGCCTCAAGTAACAAGCCAAGGCTCCAGAGAATGTTAGTACTTTTAATTATAATTGATTTATTCATGGTCAATGCAAGTGGCTATAGCTCTCCACTAATTATCATCTCAGGCAGCCTTGCTTGGAGCAATTTGTTAAGTCAATAAATGAAAATGCACCATGAATAAACTAATAACAGCTAATAGTACTGGCATTCTCTGTGATCTTGGCTTGTTGCTTGAGGCTTTTGGTGGGACAACGATTTCTGAAATAGGTGTATATTTAAAGGGTTGTATAAACTATGTTAATTCAGAGTTCACTAACCTTGAGTAAAACATGAAGTCAAGGATAATCGGCATCAGTGTTTGGACCATTTGCATGTCAACACTGCTGATGTGAAAACGATTGTGCAGGCAGGTTAAGGGATGTTTTATTGGACGATGATCTGTGGGAAAAACAGGAATATGTGACTCATGCCTAAAGTCAAAAGTGGAATTACAAAATGCTTTCACTTATCGTTTTGGTTTATAAGGATATGATGTATCTACTCTATTTACTTGTTTGTTTGTTTATTGGTTTGTTTTCTGGGTTGTTTGTTTGTTTATTTGTTCGAACTGTAAAATAGAGTATTACTGTAGCTTTTTTGCATGTTTGTTTGCTTGTTTGTTTACTGTTTTGTTACTCCCTTAGTTTGTTTTGCTATACATATGGGCCACCTTTCCCATCTTCTGCTTTGTATGAAACTTACCTGAAATATCATTTTTCTTCAACATGCCTTCCATTCTGTCACCTATTGAAACCTCTATACTTTCTAAGCCAGAAGGTGTTTCCATAAAAATTTTAAAATTACAAGACAAACATTTGATTGCCGTTTGTAAGTCAAAGTCCTTCACCTGTTAACAACAAACAAACCATGAATAAAATAAATAGCTCAAGCTTGAATTGCAATATAGCATGCTAGGTTTTGTGTGGGAAGGAAAACTAAAAAACCTTGAGATAAACCCTTGATTTGAGGGAGAGACCCAACAAACCCTACTTGCATGTGATACTCATGAGTCTAGGAATCAAACATGATAGGCAAGTGTACTTGCTACCACTATGCTACCCTTGAAGTTTGAAAGAACAATGTAAAAAGTAATGAGAAAAAATATACTTACAAGAACATAGTCAGACTGATATGTAGATATTATTAACACAGATATGTTGTTGTCTGCCAGTGGAGATATAACTGTTTTAACTATTTTGCTGATGCCTGTTAATTTGTGTGATCCTAGTGCACCTGCAGATACAGTCAGCACCCTCCAAATTGGATCAGCAACATCTATGCTCTCTCCTTTTGGTAGTTCTGTTGGGGGTGAAAAAAAGATAGTTATTACTAATGAACACAAATACTCCTATCTTGAGTTTTCTATATTGCTCAGTGTTAGATAGTGTGTAATATATTCTTTTGTATTAGTAACAGGCTATGATGATGAGGTAAAGGAATGTATACACAACAAACTTGTAGCACTTAATTGATTTAGAAATCCAATAGCTTTGCATTTAGTGCTGAATGTTTTCTACACAATTCAATCAAGGTTATATTAACACTGAAGAAATAGAAAATGTGCAAATCTGCTGTGTGCAGTTATAAAGCAAGCAGAGATTGGCAGAACACAAGACATCAAAGTGTTAGGAGAAACACAATGCATATCAAAGTGCTTCTCAATAATTCTTGAGTTATCTGCTCTTCCCCATGACTTCACAAAGCACACCAAGCAAGTTCTTTATTTCTTTTATAAAATAAAAAATTAGAGTAACCATTATTTTGGATATAATACCAATGACAAAGCAGAAAAAGTGTGCATGTGTTGTGCATTCTCATATTGCACATCATGTTCCAACCACATGCACTCATAACAGGTATTTCATGCTAATGAGATTACAGCAACAGGGGTAGTTAATAATGTGTTTACGTAAGATAAAAAATGAAAATTATTCAGAAGAATTACAAACCTGAATACAGATTATCCTCCACAATAACTGTATAGCCACCTTTTGTTTCTGTAAAACTAAAGAACTTTGGACTGAAAAGAACATAAATATATACTGTAAGCTTAAAATTCAAAAAAATTTTTTTTTCCAATTTAAAGCCACGATCGACTGTAATTTGTTCCTATCTCTCGATAACTCAAATTAAGTCATCCAACCTTTTTTTATGTGTAATTCCCTTTAGGGTTTGAGTTATCAGGATTCTACTGTAGGCTAAAGCTCCGCAATCAAATAAGCTTATGTATAGTAAGTAAATGCATTTCAGGTTAGAACAACCACCATTGATTGTTTTTGTGTTGTTGTTGTTGAATTTTTGTATATCAAAATTCTCCGCAAATCATATTTCAGATATACAAATACAGTGTATAACAGGTATATGGAAGCAACAGTTATTAAATCGTGAGGTTTTGAGTCACGAAAGATTCGATTTACCAGACATTTGTTCATAGCAACCGAAGCAGATAATTTTATATTATCACGTGAAGCTTAAACTCTATCCAGAATCCACTAAAATATCGTTCAATGTGAAGAATTTAAAATAAGGGCTTGGAATTTATAAACATAGATTGAGAGTTGAGCCCAGATGTATTTAAGTTACTGGATAATTTTAAAAAATGAACTTATTTCTAAGCTTACCAAGAATGTGGTAGAAGAGCTATCTTGATAAGAGCGTGAGTGTAGCTTCCAATGGCGTCTTTTTTGATGTTTGTAACCCGCAGCTTAAGTTCAAGAATATGAAGCTCTAATTTGTGATCTAATCCTCCATTCAACATACTCATGACAATCTCGTGAGCTTTTAATATCTTGGATAGCTAGTTCTACTTGAGTCCACAGCAGCGCGTGTAGCTGATTATAGCCTGGGTTGTTTAACAAATATACAACTGGAGCTTTCTTTGAAGCCAATCTCCACAACACTGATAAAAAGAGTGGTCACTTGGTTTAAACGCACTGAAATATATATGAAGTAAGGATCATTCGTCACGGTGGCTGTATAAATAAGTATAATCTTACATAATTATAAGAGCTGCGTTCTTCTCTTCTTCAATCTGAACCCGCTGTCCGCATCTTATCAACACACCACAGGAATCCCAAGACTTATACTACGGCAAGCTATATTTCTCTGAAATTATGTCTACAAAATTAAAAGCGAAAAAAGAAAGAAAGAAAGAAATATAAAACCTGACCTGCCTCTTTTTATTTTTATTGAAAATTTCATTTTATTAGGAGAATTACAGAAACACAGCTTGGGCTACCTGTGCCTTTAGTCACCAGACCTCTAGCTCTCAGTATTTTGTAAACTCAGCAAAATCTCATAAAAACACGAGATTTTTCATTCAAGAGGTTTTCTTGGTAATTTAACCGATATTTGTGCTTTACTTTGCTAAAAAATGTCAATATTTACCCCTACAAATCAAGTTAAGCTAACAAACGTGGCCGTAGTTCGGCTGAAGAAGTGTGGCAAGCGTTTTGAGATCGCTTGCTACAAGAACAAGGTCATGTCTTGGAGAAATAAAGTGTGAGTAAGCTTGCTTTAAATAATATCAAATACTAGGACGACAATCCACACATTCTGTGCGCTTTTTTTAATAGAAGAATTTGTCAAGAGGGTTAGAGATACACATGAAAAGAAGCAAAAGCTTAAAAACATGTGGGGCAAGTGGATAGTATGCACCTACTGTATTCTTGAGGTGCGTGGTACGTCTTAGCCGCCATGTTGGTGGACTATACAAAGCATTCCACATTATGCTTCTCTTTTTTAAATATACCAAGATGGCGGCTGTTTCATTATTATCCGTGTCATATAGAACAGTCTATACGCCGTGTGTGGGACCTGAAAGAACCATGCGCACCTGCAACAAATAATCATCTCCCTAACCCTTTGGTCTGCTATATCTCTCCACCACCTCAATCAATGCTACATGCCCCCTTTGAAAAAATCCTGGATCCGCCCCTGAATTAATTTTTATTTTTATTGACATTTTACAGAGAAAAAGATATTGATGAAGTTTTACAGACACACACCGTTTTTACTAATGTTTCAAAGGGTCAAGTTGCAAAGAAAGAAGATCTTGTTAAGGCTTTTGGGACAGAAGACCAAACAGAAATATGCACAAAGGTATACAATAGCTGTTGTACAGTAATTAGCTTTTACCACACCATTGAAAGTACAACAAATCAACCATTCAGAATGTAGGAAAATTTGTATATTATATAGGTTATCATTGGTCTAAGCATCTGATATGGCTAAGCTTCTGAACCTTTATGTTGTCCCCAGAACAATTTCCTCTCAGGACTCAATTCAAGGGATCTATTACATTTGACTTACATTGCATTTCACATTACTTTACCACGGTGGGGCTGGGAAGTTTGTTCGGAAGTTTCCAAGTTGGCAACGAACTTCGGAACTTCAAGTGAACAAAGTTCAGTGAACCGTGAACTGTTTACATCTATATTTCAAAATTTTGATGAAATTGTATCTTAAAAAACCTCAAATGTTTCAAAACTCATTTCAAAACAGGTCAATAAGATAAATACCATGTATTGTGATAAAATCCAACTTGGAAATTAAGTTTGAAAAGCATTTCCGACGAGTTACTGAATTCAATATGTTATGAATTTCAAAGAGCACGCTGGAATTTCATTTTAAAGTTCCGAAGTTCGTTGCCAACTTGGGAACTTCCGAACAAACTTCTCAACCCCCCGCGGTAAAGTAATGTGAAATGCAATGTAATTTGTTCCTTTTTTCTTAATCATGTCCAAGATTTTGGCCAAAGGAGAGTTGCAAGTTTCTGAGAAGGAAAGAAGTCAACAGCTAGAGTCAGCGTTCAGAGATATTGCAACAATAGTCGCTGATAAGTGTGTTAACCCTGAATCCAAAAGGCCTTATCCAGTTGGTGTAATAGAACGTGCAATGAAAGATATCCATTATTCTGTCATCCCAACACGCAGCACAAAACAACAGGTATGTTTTATAGCAATTAGAGAAAGCTTTTTCTTTTTTGCCCTGAGTTTACAATGCTTTTCAGTAGCAGCCATGGAATTGTCCCCAGGGCCTGTTTGTATGAAGGATGAATAGCACTATCCAATGGTTAATTAACAAATTTACGATGGTTGAGCGTGGTATGTCCTCTTATTTACCACGATATGACGTCAAAAGTTGGTCAAAATGTTATGGACTCACGAGGCGTAAGCCGAGTGGGTCCATAACTAATTTTGACCAACGTTTGGCATCATATCGTGGTAAGTAAGAGGACATACCACGCTCAACCATCGTAAATTTGTTTTTTACTACAAAACTCACAAAACTCTAGGAAATAGACTGCACGAAATCTTGCATGACGCCATTTGTTGGTATGGCCTCTTATTTACGACGTTTTTTAACCAATCAGCGCGCGAGAAAATTTACAATTGTGGTAAAAATCCTTATATCCAGTGGATAAGTTGATGCTGTTAACCAATACATTTATCCTCTGGATAAGATTTATCTGTCGGATAGCCCTATTCACCCTTCTACAACCAGGCCCAGGTTTGGAAAGTAGGTCATCAGTCAAAAGGCATTTCCATGACATATACCCTTGAAGACTTAAGGCTTTCCAATGATGTCATGTTAACACTTTGATCGGTGTCCAATGAGACCCTATATTGTCTTGATGGTAAAAAATGTAATGTCATAATAAGGGTTTTAAATCAATCAAATTTTTGGGTATCAATATTATTATAACTGAATGAATCTTATAAATCTCACACTTAGTCTTCAGTGAACGGCAAAGGGTGCCCTCCATGTTCAATCATCCATCTACATTTCTATTTTGCCTTTTCATGGGCTGATGGCTATGTTAGATGGGAGAAAAGTAGAATCCCTTTACTGTGGGGAATTCGATTCTTTCTTGTGTAAAAAAAATTGTATGATTGTTCCTACTATCCAATCTATGTGTAGTTTATTGATGATTCCCAATCTGCTTCTAAAATTGCTATGGATGATAACAAACTATACAATCTGACTTACATCATATTCTTATTTTGCATAATATTAGGCCCTGGAAGTGATACGACAGCTCAAAGAAACCATGCAAATAGAAAGAGCTCAAATGAGATTAAGACTTGTTCTACCCGCAAAAGATGCCAAAAAGGTCCAAGAAAAACTGAAATCATTGTTGAGTTCCATCGAGTCAGAGGAATGGGATACTGATTTGGAGATGGTAAGGATAGTGGGTAGTAGCAAAAAGGGGGAGGTTAAAGCCACGCCCTGCTTGCCCCCCCTGTCCATCTGTCTCTGTGGTCTTTGTGATGTTTAAAGATGTAATGTAATGGCATATCATTTCTCTTAATGGGACCGGTTGATAGTGCTATTCAATGGATAAATCCTTATCCAGTGGGTAAGTCGATGCTGTTATACAATAAATATATCTACTGGATAAGATTTATCCATCGAATAGTGCTATCCACACTTCATACAACTGCGTCCTGACAGTTATAAATCTGATGTTTTTAACACTGCCTTAAGGTAAGAGTTAAGGGAGTGGCAGGCTCTAAGGGAAGCACAGGTGGTGTGTGCTTGCTAATGCACTGCTTCATCAATGCGAGCTCAATTCCTGGGCTTGTTGTTGTATGTGAGTAGAGTTACTGTTGGTTCTCTTGTTGGTAACCCTCCATTCCAGGACTCCAATACCACTGCAATTTACTGATTTTGTCCACAAAAAGTACATCATATCAATTGCTGACATTGCATACACATATAGAATATACAAACTGCATACACATGAAAATAAATAGGTGAAGATAAGCATGCTAATAAACACAACAACCCTAGAAAAAATAAGAGTACCACGAAGGAAGTCGAAGCCCCAACCTTCCGATTATCTAGACGGATGCTCTACCACTGAGCTACTGGACTTGTATGACTGCTCTGAGAGTTGTGTACACTGAAATCCATCAGTGATAAACCATATACTGAATAGTATGCATAATAGTATACATATACATAATACATATAGAATAGTTATCATAGTCTTTACTTTAGTTGTATTGTAGGTAGCATGAGTGGTTGTGCTCCTAATGAGTGGTCCTCTTACTAATGTTAAGTATACGCTTTGGGTTGGTACTTTGAACCCGTGCGTGTGCAACATGTGAGTACTAGAGTTTGATTGACTAGTTTTTCTCCAGGTTCTCTGGTTTTCCTCTCCCCGTAAAAAATTATAAATGTAAGTTGAATGGTAGTCATGTGTGAGTGAAAGTGGGCCAAATTGAAGACCAGTATATACATATATACTGAATTTGTAACCCAGTATAAAAAAGTGATTTTTTGATATTGTATTTCTTCGTTAGGTTTGTCTCGTGGACCCCGGGTGTTACCGTGAAATTGACGAGATTCTCCGAGTAGAAACAAGGGGACGAGGTGCTGTAGAAATGTTGAGTTTAAAAGATGTTGAAGCAGAGGATAAACAAATCGAATAAATTTGCATTTGAAACATGGTTAGGTGGGTTTATTTTTGAAGGACATGTGACGTCATGGCCGCCATGTTGGTTCTAAAAAAGACTTGGTCAAGCTTGGTTTTCCAAGTTTTTTTCTTTCTATTTCTTGCACTTCTACTGGAAATGGATACATGCTTCTTATACGTGTATTTTTTCCACCCTTTTTTTTCATGGAGAGGATGCGAGTTTTTGATAACATTGTCTGCATGACAGCATCAACCAACATGGTGGTCGTGTCATTTTTCCTTTTTTTTCTCATGGAGAGAATGCAAGACACCTACATTGATAACAATGTCCGAAAAAATTACCTATCAGACAAAACCGAGGAAATAGCAAAATTATAAGAACTAAACATTTCTTATTAGTCTATACCTACTAATAGCCAATCACAAATTCCGCGTTCTGATTGGCTGATCATAGACCGCCAGTAGCGAAAAGTGCTGGTTAATTTTGACTACCAAAACAATGGCGGTAAACTCACTCGAGTCGTGCAAGGTGCTAATGAATGCGCTTCCTTGGTTCTTTGAACCACTATCATAAAGAGCTCCGGTTTTCTTCTCTCAAATTAAAAAAAAAAACGTTTTCTCACCTCTGGTGTCTTGATTTCCATTCGTGGACACGGCATTACATCCTTGGTTCTTTTACCCGCTATCATAAAGAGCTCAGGTTTTCTTCTGTCTCAAATTTAAAAGCCCCGTTTTCTCCGCCTCTGCAGTCTTGGTTTCCAATCGTCGACGCGGCATTACATAAGGTTTGGTTTTTGTTTCCGATTTCTCTGTTTCATCCCTCCGCAAAACTCATCAAGCTAAATTTCTATCAGTCGATCTGGGAGTTAATGCCGTGCCCTGACTTTGATCAGCTTAGAGTTTGTTGCAGTGCTAAATAGAGGGGATGCCGTTTTGATTTGACAATGATGGTAATTATGTTGATGATGACAATAGCAATAACGACAACTATTAGTTACAACAATCAGTTTCAATTCAATTTTATCTCATACATTGCATACATACATACATACAGTCAATGTCATTAACGTTGTCCACCGATAAAAAGACATTTACCCATTTAAACTAAAAGAAATATCACGTGTTTCATTATGTATTCTTTGCCTCGTGTGCGTCAGCCTGAACTTTTAATGTAAAATTCAACTCGTGAATCGAAAATCCAGAATGCCCCGACCATTTAGTGAGGATTTAAGATAGAGAATGGTATTTCAGCCTTTGGTTTATGCCAGGACGTTCGAGGAAACACGTGATATTTCTTTTAGTCTAAATGTCTAAATGTCTAAATGTCTAAATGTCTAAATGTCTAAATGTCTAAATGTCATTTTTCTGTGGACAACGTTAATGACATTGACTCTATTTTATTTAGTGCTATATACATATAATTAACAATGCAAAAAAATTTGTTCCTTACTTTATAGCACAAGCCAATTGAAACAACCAACAATAGGCTGATCTACACAAATGCCTTGCTTAAATAATAAACTAAGTTTGGTCAGGAGTATAGATATACAAAATTCAGAAAATTCTGAGGAACGAGAATAGATACGCCATGTTCGCTCGCTGACCGCTTACAGTTGTAATATTTCCGTCACAACAAACACATTGAAACCTTTCCTTACGCTGGTTCACTGGTAAAGCACTAACCACCTAGTCCAGCTTGCAAGGTTAGTTTCGTAGGGTTGGTCAACTTTGTACCTTCAAGCCTAGATTGCATGTTTTGAGTTTGACCAGTGAACCGATGTGTATGGACTGAATTCCCCTGACTAGTATGGCACGGTGCTTTAACTTTTTTTGTTGTTGCGGATTTTCACTAGCAACCCTAATAGAAATTCATTTAAAACGAACATAATTGTTCAACATTTAATACTGTGTTCTTGGTGTGCATGTGACGTCATGGCCGCCATGTTGGTCGACTTGAACGAAGAACTTTGTCTTGGATTCTTGTTCAGCCAACATGGCTAATATTTTACTTCAGAAGGGGTGTCGTGACGTAAATGTATTGCCCAATTCTTTTAGTTTGGTTTTTTGCCCTCATTGCTAAGGGTTGTCTCCCTGTCCAGTTTTGGAGTTTTATTACTTCCATCCCGTTGGTTTGGATTGTCTCCGTCAGCTCTTGACTCGCTTATCTTCCAGTTCCATGCCCATGGGGACCACATATTGAAAGACGAAGGATTGGACCACCTGGAAAAGGTACAGTTTATGGATTAAATTTGTGCCTCACTGGGTACCCTGTGGATCGGTAGTCCTCTCGCTCCAGGGCTCTGAGACCAAAAATATGAAGCACTGGAGCGAGAATACCATAGGCCCTCGGGGAGACGGGGCGGGAAAATGTAACATGGCGCTTTGCCGTGCGCCAAATTGTCCAAGAAAACAAACATGGCCGCTTAAAAAATGGTTGAGATTTTCTGGCAAAAGCATTCATTTTAGTACAAACCAGAAAAAGTTCTTTCATACAATAAAACAAACCATAGGCATTGGGTAATAGATTAAAATACAAGTGTTTCTTAAACTTCAAGAAATAAGCTTATCCTCAGCTGAATTTAAAGCATGTATACCAAGCAGGTGAGACCGCGATTTTACGCTAAACCGCTGATTCGTTTATTAGAGTAAAGCTTTTTTGATAGAGTCTATCCAAACGTTGGGGTGAATTTTATATCTGACGAAACTGGACCCTCTTTCTAGTCGGTTCTGAACAAGTTTCAACGTCGTTGCTTGTACCGCTTACGCCGGCTTATCCTATACTTGCCTATAGCTATAGACAGTAGCGGATACATGATTTTAAAATGGAGGAGGGGGATTGCAGAAACGCTATTTCCTGCATATTTCTGGCATTTTAAGTACGCGTTAAGACGGAAAATAATCGGCTTCACAATTGGGTGTTCCGTGGAACCACCCCTGGTTCCGCTACTCTACTGTACGATATTCATAAAAGGCCAGATCGCAAATAGTCTCTTGTGTATTTGTATTTGTATGATGAATATTCTGGTTGAGTGATAGCAATTATTACTCAATAAATAGTGCCATTGATGGTTTTCACGGCKGCCATGTTGGAGGAACTTAACAAAAGAATTATCAATGAATTGTTTTGTTATATCCTCCAACATGGCCGTCGCGTCTTTTGTTATTTAATTCTTTTGGGAATGGTTGAAAACCAACAATTTGTCAGTATCAACTTTGTTTTTATTTCATGGTCTTACTGCATGCGCTCTATGATGTCGGCAATAAATGCTTTAAAAAGGAGAAAAATGACTTTTGAATACAAAATGAAGAAATTCGCAATGAATTCAAATGCTGCAGTGAAAATACTTTTTGGGGGAAGGCTTTTGTTAATGAATTTCTGTTTTCGATCGCCATATTGGATTAGCTAACAAAGAGCCGAGTTTATATTCGAAGATGCGGGGTGACCTGTTATACTTGGGCAGTGGTTGGTTAATAAATCAAAACACGAACCCACTCTGACCACATGTTATACTCACCATTTTTGAGTGGCACATCCTTCATTTTGTTTCGGCGGAGCAATGGCCGCTGATACGATCACCATGATGGAGATTTCTTTAGCAAAACGAGAAAAATAAGACTAATTTTGGTAATAATTTTCCATGTTTAAGTGACGAGTTTTTTTTCGTATGAAAATCGTCACTGTTTGGTCAGCACTGATTTTATAAAGTTACATGTTTTCACAATGTAAATTTAATCCAATCACCTGTTTATTTTGGTTAAATTGTTGAAAACAAAACAAATATGTTAAGAAATCAAAGACACTAACATTTGAGTTACGCAATTAATTTCTAAACTACCTCTTTTGCTAACAAACAAGGGTTAGTAAAATAACAATATAAAAAGACCTGTTTTTAACTTTAAAAGCCATTCATTAGAACTCAGTTACTAAACTAAGGGTTTTAAAAAAATTGCCATTGTAGGTGTGTTTGTTATAGAATGATTCAGTATAGTCATGGACCGAGTTCTCTCTTAAATATCAGAAAATATTTTAAAAGTAAACAAAGGGCGAAGACAACATGAAGGGAAAGAAATGAAAAGTACCAAACCAAGTATTCTCTGATCTGAATGGGACATTAAACGCTGCTCTTGCCCGCCAAACAACCCAGTTTTTAATACTTCCCTTCACAGTTGCCCGCGCAAACTTGAAAGGTGGCTGCGCCTTTGCATCGAAGCGAGATGAACGGTGAGCTTACAATGATAGAGACGTGAATAATTGTCCAATGGTGTCAAAATAAAGTCTCTATCATTGCAAGCTCACCGTTCGTCTCGCTTCGAAGCAAAGGCACGACTACCTTTCAAGTTTGCGCAGGCAACTGTGAAACAGACTACTAAGAAAGTTGTGTTAAAACTATTCAAATAATACACACACGATCAGTTTGGCTCGACGATACAAATACAGATATAAAAATGTAGTTCGCTAAGAGATCGGCCATTAAGATTTACAATATTACCTTATTTGCAGAGTCGTGTAGAATGTTAACTCTTTCTTCGCCTGTTTTTCAATTTGAATGCCGCTATGTTTTTCGGTGTTTTTGTTATGCGGCTTTACTAAAGAATTTAAACAAATGCGATAAGAACTAGTCCCAACCCTCCGCTGTCCCGTACTTATCAGTCAACGATATAGTCACGTGATTGTTACTGACTATCGCCATATTTGTACGAAATAATTACTAGGGGTAAAGACAGCATTTACTTTTTGTTTTTGTTTGTACTATCCAGGGCCGTAGTCACAAATTTCTGATTGGTTCGGTTTTCGAGGGCTTTCGGTTTTTCTTACATTTTTTATTTCATTTTTCTTATATTTTTTTCCCGAAAGTTGCGGTTCGGTTGAAACCGGACCAACCGTACCGGTGGCTACGGCCCTGCTATCATAATATATAATAGAAGTATGCATTTTGGTGGTTCGTAGAAGGCGTTTCCATGGCATTATTAAGGCATGTGCCACTGAAAATTTTTCATTTTCCGATAGATATATAGTGTTATGATAACGACCTCCGATATTCGCACGTGGTATTGAGAAATAAGTCTCGGCCAAACCACGAACATTCCTTTGCATTTATCTCACTAACTCAGGGGGGGAAATCTCATTCTTTATAAACCCAATGGTTTTTTAGTAAAACTTATAACTTGATTAACACAAATGCTTTGAAAATCTTTTATTCTGTCATTCATGACAAACAACAAACTAAATAAACAAACTTTTATGGAGTATCAAACGTTTTTATTTCAACCTTTTCTTTCTAAGTGAAAGAGGGAGGGCGACAACCATTTTTAAAAAGTTCACTGCGAATCCCCAGCTCTCCCCCTCCCCCCACGGCCCCATAATAAAGAACGTACTTTTCCTAAGAAAACGAGAAAAAACGTCTGCGCATGCTTGTTTTCTTGTGTGCCCATTAGCCGTCGGAAAACGTCGATCCTTGCTCTTCAGTAAAACAAATTTTACTTTTCGAAAACTGGCCTTACAAACGGACTTCTTGCATGCGCAGTAAGCATGACAGGACCCTGGGTTCGAGAGTGGGATAACGTGCTACGCATGCGCAGACGCTGAATTGTATAATATAATCGTGATGTAAAATATTTATCGTGGTCCAAGAGGATAAGTGGGTGGCTAAGTTCAATAGTATTTAGATTTTACTCTATAATACGTGCTCTTGGACGGCTGTGACATCAATGCTTTAATACAAGACATGAGTTATGAGGGCGTAACTTAGGAATAATTCATTAGATTTGAGTTATAATGGAAATTGTGGGGTCGGTATGCCCGAGGGAACGGACAAAAAAAATCAACTCAAATAATATATTTTAAAATATGAAGTTATTGTGCTATTCTTATTCTTAAATTTGTTACCCTAATCGCAGGATAAGTTTAGAACGTTATTAACACCTTATCTATATACATATATATTTTTTGGTGGATGCGCCTTCTTCAATCTACTGAAAAAGAAATTTCCCGCACTTTACTTAGAGGCCTCAGGATTATGTGCGCTGCTTATGCGTCGTCACTCATCGCTGTGATCATCGGGTTAGATCCTCAGACCAGCTATTACATTTGAGTTCTCTCGGCCTGTGCTTCGAGAGTTTCCGCACTCTCCGGTCCCCCCCCCCCCCCCCCCCCCCCCCCCCCCCCCTGCATAATTTAGCTTTTTCAAAAAATTCCTGTTCGATCTGGCGTGGAGCGCTTTAGGATCTTCAGGCTCGGGAAGTAAAGCAATCTCTCCATGCGCGATGGGGACGTAAACTAAATTACATTTACATTTAATATATAAGTTAAGTACTGAAATAGCTGCTGGGTGCCAAACCTCTAGACATTGAAAAGATTGGAGTTTTGTCACGAAAGGGGGTCTAAGCTAGTCTTTATCTGTCACTCTCCTTGAAGATCCTTTGTCCTTAGAATACCATCCACTACTGTATATAAAGAAGCTCCTCCGAGCAGCTGGTTGAAAAAAACATGTTCAATAACCCTGCTCTCTACGGATCCTAACGCTGCTAGGCGAATCAATGTCTGACCGAAGCGATTGGGGATTTGAGCATGTTGAACACGGATGTATTCCTCTAGCGCGTTCTGGGTCTTGTTCTGAATGGCTTGAATCTGTACGGCATCTGCGAGGTGATCGGTATCTGAAAAACATTATATCGAGAAAACATAAGTAGTTATAAAAACGGCCACATTTGACAACACATCGTATAGAATTTGTTATAGTAATTGTCTTAAATCTTATCCCAGCAAAACTAGGTTTAATTTGTTTTACAACAAATAAGATAACATAAGATTTTTTTGTTATATGAGGCACAAGATCTGAGCATTGCTCACGTAATTCATTAATTTTTCAATGGGGAGGGGAATGAATTATAATCTAGGTTAAAAATCTGAAGAAAGCAATCGATGCTTGGAATTATTGATCGAACTTATTAAGTGCTGATTTGCTATGAAATTAGAATCTTGTTAGAAAAAGAAAGAAAGAGAAAGCGGAGAGAGAAACTTGTAATAAGCGCGCTGACAAAAATTCAAATTGAAAACATTAAAAATTCTAGCATAACATATTTTTTAGCTTACGATATCCTGTCGTAACAGTAAATAATAAAAAAATATCTAAGATTCTAGATGTAGTTATACGATTTCTAGAAAGCTATGAAAATTCATATTTTAAAACGTCCTTATTTTTCCGCTTCCCAGTTCGTTTTTGTAAATTTAAATTTTGAGTTGCCAACAGCTGCTGTGATCGCGCTTCTTAATTCATTTGATGTAAGAAAAGAGTATTTCATAACGTATAGAATAAATGTCGCCGGAACAAACTTAGTGTTGAATAAAATTTGACAGTCATAAATATTTTCTAAGGAAATTCGTCAAAGGTATCGTTGAAGAGGAAGCGGTTAAGTGGTATCTATTTCAAAGAATAGACAACACGACGCACGAAGAAGCTAAAAAGTATCATCGTCTAAACCCAAACGAACCCGCTTTTACACTTGGTCATCTTTGAATAAATTGACCCAAGCTTTAAGAAGATTTCGAAACACCTAAAAGCTCATAAAAATATATATAACTTGTGTATGGCTATAGCCTGTAGGCAATCGGCGTGTTTTTATATAATTCTAACAAAATTTTGACTGTGGGAAGCGACAGATTTGTGAAATTAAAATTTTTGTCTTTCATTACATTTTGATTTCCTCTCAAAAAAATTTATTCCGATATTTAGAAAATGAAATAAGGAATTGCAGCTTGTTTTAATATTCCCTTTGAATCATTTTGTTTTATTGATTACCAAGGCGCTGAAGTATATTGTTTTCCTTGAGAAAAGCCGAGTAGCTGATAAAAAGATATCTCGGTGCAGATTAGATTGGCTTATATTCGTTTGAAATCTCTGTTTATGTATCAGGGAATGCTTTAATTTCCTCTGCCATTAGGATACCGCTGTGAATATCATTTTTTACGTGAAGTGCAATGCCATGATCTTCGTTAATAAAAACGGAAGGACTTGAACACTGAAGATCCTTGCGATATACCTTAAACTTGACATGTCGCGGCTTTGTTTAGAGTTCTTAGTTCGAAATGAGCTTAAGATATTGTCTTAAGGCTTCTACCAAGATTTAATACATGAAAAATCTTCCCACAGTAGCGACATTTTTCTTCTTTGTCGCTTGCCTGTCCATCTCCGCCTCAAATCCGGTTTGTTTATTTCGGAAACCGTTTTGGTCAGTGAACAGAAATCAAAAGGTTGCGTCACGTTAGTATTCTGAGTAAGAATAACGCATTTAGGTTAAAGAAAACATATGGTATTATAACTTGAATGACCAACCTACCTGGATTGAAGAGAGCAAGAGCTTTAAGCAGCGAGAATTCGGCTCTATCCAATTGCAGCTGTACTAGTTTGAAAACAACTTCATTCAGCTTCCCCATGTTTTGCAGAACTTTATCCAGATGTTCTTGTGGTGTTTTCTCGAAAACTTCCCCAACCAAAGGCGCTAATTCGAAAGGCATTGCCCATTGTACCAAATTTATAATAAAAATTTTGCACCAGTTTTCTCTTAGCAAAGTTACTTGGTCAAAATGCGACAGTTCTGAGAAATGTTTGACTTTTTTTGCCCAGTGGACTGTCATAAACAAAAGTCGAGCGGCCATTTCACTTGTTTTTTCGCTGTCTTTTCCGCTATTTAAATATTCTTTTGAAAAAGCGCTGTTTTCCAAAGAGGAAGTTGATAATGTACTGTTGTCTTTTTCGGATTTTCTGCAATAGGGCTCCACATCTTGGAGATGTAGTACGAAATCAGAAAGAGAAGCGAAATCAGCTTCTTTTCTCAATTCTTGTGTTCCTTTTTGATGTTGTCTCTTCTGACGCCTTCGTTGCCTTTCATAATCCTGAGCTTTGGTCTGTTGAACAGCTAAATAAAAGAATAATATCATAAAATCAAATGTTATTGTATACTTGACGTTGTTTATATTGCTTATATACTTGATGTTTTCAATGTTATTCCTTCCTTCTGCAATACCCAGATATCTAGACTTTGATCAAGACATTTTACGATACATTGACATTCTAATATTAATGCGAAATCAGTTATGAGAGAGGCTAGAAAATCCGTGCTGAGAAGTTTTCACTGATCGAGAAACCATGTTTCATTTTCGATTTAAAAAATTATGCTTTTTCAAGTTTAAGGAGTCTTTGTTTCAATTATGGACTACCAATTTATAACTAATAAATGACAAATTTAAAATGAAAAGTTATGTTTCATTTAAATTCAATAAAATTATGTCAATTTGATTCCTATATTTAAAACCAAAACAAGGTGATCGTTCAGTTACTTATTCAGTTATGAAAGTTTAGGGGATCACTTTATGACAATTGCCATCTAAGAATCGACCGTTTTACAATAAATTCTGCCAATATACTTTATTCAAATGTTTTCTTTAGCTTAGACTAAATGTTTTCCAGATATAGTGACGAAGGTCGCGAAAAATAAAGGATTTGTTAAACAAATTTTAAATTGTGATTTGAACTATGCTAAGATTACTTAAAGAGGTGAGAAAAGCAGCAAGAAAAAAAATGGAACTGAGGTCGAAGCATAGTAAAGAAATAAAAAGAAAAGAATGAAATCAGAAAAAAATGGGAATCAAATTTTCTTACCTTCTCTCTTCATTCCAACTGAGAGGCACTTTCTCATTCTGCAATATTGGCAACTATTTCGGTATCGCTTGCTTATTGGGCAGCAACCAGCCACACGACAAGTATAATACAGGCGCTTTTTGATACTTCGTTTAAAGAAAAGCTTGCATCCCTCGCAAGTATTTGCCCCGTAATGCCTTCCTGTAGAATGGTCCCCACAAACTGAGCAAATTTCCATTACGAGGAGTATTGGATTTCAAAGTGTTGGCTAGTATTTTGAGCAGTTTACGAGATACTATCTTTTTCTTAACTACTCTATATTAAAGGAGGCCTGTAAAGTCCTTAAACTGAATACTGCTTAAGTCCAGCAAAAATAACAACTTGACTCTTACAGCAGCTTAAAATTTAACCTGTACCACCTTAAGTAGTGTTATGAAGAATCGTTGATTATGTCGCATTACGACTAGCAGGGAAATTCCTCTTATTTATTTCCACCTATTCTTTTAGAAGTTGCCGTTGAATATTAATGTGCTGCTAAACAATGCGACAGAGCTGTAAGAAGGAAACAGCTTTACCTCTAGGCACAAATTACAATTTAATATTGTCGCATTTCGTTTAAGATATTTAGAAGACAATAGCTTTCCAATGTCAAAATCGCAAATTTCAAAGGCCAAGTAGTAGGGGTCTTTAACCAATGTGCGTTGATTACTGTTTTTGTGTGACATGTTTATTTGGCTTTTTAAAAAAATGCCTAATTCTTACCTCATGCGGAGAAGGAATATTTATGGTAAGAGCGCCCATACAAAACAATGACAATACAGATGTATGGTTCGCACGAACTAGTAGAAATACATAGATAAGAGCACTTCTTCCGCCAATATGACTTTATGCTTAATTTGTTAGCCTAGTTGACCTAATCGGTACTCTTTCACTAGAGAGATACAAAAATGATAGAAAATTGAACAGGGGAAGTAATTGGGCGAAAATTAGAATGGCCATGTTTCCTGTGAACTAACTCCAAAGCGATTAGAATCTTGCATGTCAGGCAGAAAGCTTATTGGAGGAAACGAGTAATATTAACATTTTCATGAAAGTTAGCAAGGTAAACGCGACAGGGATGCCTAACACTCGCTTTGAACTGACGAACGCCTAAAGCATTAATCAAAGTCTCGCATTTGTTCTCGCTCAATCTCCCGGCGACAGTTTATTTCTTTCTCAATGAAATCGAAAATTTTTGAAAAAAAGCAAATGAAATAGAAATGGAAGGCAGTAAAACGCAGCAAAAACCAATAAAAGCCTTGTTTATGTCTGGTATTGAATGGCTTTGATATCAAGTTTACTTGTGACCATGGAACCCTGTAAGATAAAGCTCACTGAACCAGGTGATGCGCAGGATTACACTAGCACTTTCGTTATAAAAAAACAATATTCAGTTTAAAATACCCAAAAAAACTAGGCATATATTTATTCCCAATTAAATTTAAAGCGCTATTTCACCTAGGTTGCAAAGCTGAAGTAATTCTTTATTTCAAATTTTGAATTTTTTCCTTGTTTCAAACTTTGAATTTTTTCCTTGTGAATTCAGGAGAATAAATACAAGTGATTTATTTGGAACACAACACGGTTAACTAACGGAGAAAGAACTTCTTGAGCGGATATGATAAGAAAATTTATTTTGAGCTTTTGTTGTGTATTTAATATCGATTGTTATCATCGGGAAAAAATGTCTTTCTTCTTACAGCAAGATTGATAATTTTGAAAACGCATAGAAGCTAGCACTAGACAAAATAATAGTAAGCAAAAACGAATTTGTTCATGGCTTATCTAACAGGACGTCATCAATCTTGGAAGCCATTTCAGTTGCACGGTTCCAAGCAGCTGGTTTGTGACCTCGATGAAGAAAAGCTCATGGAATTGTTTTCTTTTTTTCTTTTTCCAACTGCCGAATCTTCAATTAACTTATTGCAATGAAATAAAATCGCCAAAATTAATGAAGTAAAGAAATAATAAGGCCCAAATATATGAGTTTCATTCACTTGGTTTTAATTAGTCGGACGTTTTTAATTTTTATGCTTTGGAAAAGACGCAAGTTCGTTATTCAGACTTCCCAGCAGGGCGATCAATCTGAACGTCATTTTTTAAATAGCTTCAACAGTTGGACGTCGTATACTCATCAGGTTCATTCACTCGGTATGTGCTTGTTTTGCTTGTACAGTTTTTAGTTATTGAAAAGGTGAATATGAAAGCGAAGAATTTGAAGAAATAGGAAGCTGTCTTAAAAGTCAATTGACCTCGTTGATTATGACGAGGACGACAACGACGGCAAGTGATGATAATAAAATTGAAAACTTGTCATAACTTACTTGCCGACGTCTTGTAAAACAGATTAATCGATTGATAAATTTTTAAACTTCTGATGACTAAGTTTCTCTTAGTTCTCATAGTTTCTCATTAGTTTAATATCTCGACTGTTTTCCCCCTCCAGTTATTATAAGAATTACTGCGCACTTCTTTTTCTTCAAGAAGACGCTTTTCAGTTGCAAATTGTTGATTGGAATTTTGAACGAAGGTCGTACAGCTTATTGAGACCTCTATTATTATGCTTCAATGATAATATCGGTAGAAAACATTTATATGGAAAAAATAAAAGTGTTTAATGAAAAATCTCATCAGCAATTTTGGGATATTTTTTCCAAACCAATATATCATGGTCAATAGTCAATGTTATTGACTGCATGTGACCCTGGGACAGGTTCACAGCATGGGCACACATCGAATTGGAATTTAGTCTTGTTAGGTTTTGCGGATGGATCAGTTAAAACCGAAGGACCCAAAGAAAAAAGCCCAAATATAGGGAGAGACGTAAAAACAGAAACCCAACCTGAGACCCCAGAGACAACAACACTTCTGCACCCTCTGTTCTTTACATTCCCTGGAGCGACTGTTTTATTCGAGTGGGTAGCCTTGATGGCATACAGGAGTAGACAAAATTAACAGCCAGAGCATTCCATATGTTATGAATTTTCATTTTATTATATATTTTTGGATGAGTTTACAAATGTGCTATGAAAAAGAAAAACAAGAAGAAGTAAAAAGAGAAGAATGAAGCCTGAATAAAAAGGAGGAAGAAGAAGAAGAAGAAGAAGAAGAAGAAGAAGAAGAAGAAGAAGAAGAAGAAGAAGAAGAAGAAGAAGAAGAAGAAGAAGAAGAAGAAGAAGAAGAAGGAGAAGGAGGAGGAGAAGGAGGAGGAGAAGAAGAAGAAGGAGAAGGAGAAAAAGGAAAAGAAGAAGCAAAAACAAAAGAAAATGATGCATATGAGAGATAAAAGTGGCAGACTGACAGTCAGTGGTTGTATGAATTCATAAATGACCTGTTGACGACCTACTACCAATATGCCGTGCAGTAGCTGTTATGGTCTAGTCATAAAATTTCTAATTGATCAGCAGCTAGATAGTGTCCTGAACACACTCGTTTAGTTTATTCACATGATTCAGATAAAACAAACACTTATGCAGATTTGTCTCCGGTCTATTACTTAGTCATGTCCTTGGAAATCCTTTGATACGCGATCTATCCTTTTGCAAAAGTTTAATGTTTATATGTCGCACAACTACTATCGAGTGTCGCATGAAAAAACATTCAACTTCCTTGGCTATTTTTGATTATATATGCAAGAAATTGAAACATTTCCTTTCTATCAATTCATCAATCTTTTTTGCGGATTTTTGATAGGGGTTGCAGTGGGTTGGGTGGGGTTAAATTGTACTATATTACTGATAAATAGTCTCCTTCACAGTTCCCTGCTCCATATGGAAAAATAGCCGTGCCTTTGCATCGAAGCGAGACGAATGGCGAGCTTGCAATGATAGAGACATGTGAATAATTGTCCAAGGTGTCAAAGAAAGGTTTCTATTATTGCAAGCACACCGTTCGTCTCGCTTCGATGCAAAGGCATTGCTACCTTTCAAGATGGCGCAGGGAACTGTGAAGGGGACTATTGGTAAAGTTTTATGTATTTCTAATTTTGTGCATCATCTTTATTGTTATTGGCGATAACGTCCAAAATGAATTATTATGATATTATTATTAATTTATTATTATTATTATTACTATTGTTAATTTATCATTATGATGAATATTCGTTATCATATAACTATTTATTAATAATGAATTATATTGACGGCAAAATTGAAACTATGATCATTATAATCATTAATTATTTTTGCTCTATTATTTATTCTATTATTTTAATTTATTATTATTCGAAAATAATGAACGACGCATGTTTTGGCAAAGCGTTTGCCATCTCCATAAGTACAAAGTTGAATTGGAAATCATTATTAATGAATAGTTATCACCATTATTATTATGACTAGCATTATCTTTATTATCACTATATTGTTCATTAATATTATTAATTATTATTATATTAAGGCTTAATATAATATATTTTGCAACAAGAATCTGACCACGAGAACATACATTATTATACCATGAAAGTACAGCTTTTATCCGATGAGACAATGACTTCAAGAAGCAGACTTGCTCAATCTGAAGTCACTTTTCTCAAATACATTATAACATCGATATCTCAGGTTGACACTAAAGGAATATCGCTGAAACTGATAACATACAACCCAAGATAAATACTAGTAAAGTACAATACTTCAAAAAAGTGACACGGTTTTTAAAAGTGTCCGTCCTAAGAACTTCACTATGCAAAGAATGCAGTACCCTTGTTATGTTCGACTCATGTTTAAAAATATTCGAAAATATTTACGAAAATATCTAATAATATTCGATGAAATATTCAACATTATTCGAAAATATTCGAAAATAATCAATAATATTTTATGACCATCGCTCTTCGCGTGGAGTTTTGGCTCTTTCTTGGTGTTGCAAGAGACCTAAAGCATGAAGACAATAAAACGATAGCCAAGTGATAATGAATTTGGAGCTAAACAATACCCTGCGACACAAAATACGATAAAGCTTGCTACACCAAGAAAGATCCTAACGTTTTCGTGAAGTTTTCTCCATCCACACTACCACCACATTAAATATCATACGTACATCTCAACAGCTCACATCTTTATTCTTAAAAATAGAGAAAAGTTAGAAAAACCACCCATGGAAAAAAATTCCTGGATGCAAGGGAGAGAACAACACATTAGTCAAAAACTCAATGTCATTCGTTACTCCACAATTTTTTATTCGCGGAGTGTCATGGGATTGAAATCCACGAAAATGCCAAGGCTTTCAAGGCACGTAGATTTCCTGGTCTTTCAACTTTTTCTACGTGTTGTATTTTGTGATATGTAAAAGAATAATGTAGAAATAATATGTAACCACAGGCAGCCCAAACAAGGTTCCTGTATATGGTATATGATTTTGAAAAAACCCACTAAACGGCCTCAAATCTCGCTGAAACTTCGCCAGAGGAGTGAAAAAAGCAAAAGCAACAACTGCAGCAAGTTTTGAGGCAAATTATTGAGTGAAACATTTTAATGTTATCTCCCACATTCCCTTATAAACCATACACAGGAACCTTGTTTGGGCTGCCTGTAATGTAACGAGAGGAAAAAACATTTTAGCTTATGTTTTCAGTGTTGTTTTTTTTCTGTTCGAAAAACAGCATATTGGTTTTTTCAATCGGATGTTATGATTACTTTTCTCTTATTCAAGATGAAAAAAAAAAAAAAAAAAACTAGAAAAAAACGTGAAAAAACGGTTAAAATTGTGCTCCTTCCAATTCTCTAATCCTTTTGAAAAACTTTTTATTACATATTAGCAAACGACTTTCAACTCTCAGATTTAAATAAAAGTTAATGGTTTATACATTTACTACTATATTTTTCTTCGTTAATCTTGAACGATTACAAAAACCGTGCAAAAAATCCATAAAATACCACTTACGGTTGAAATAGTGGTCCTTCCAATTCCCTAGACATATAAATAAGCCTTTTGAACTAACTATAGTGGTAACTAAAGACTTTTAGCCCTCAGAAATAGTTAAAAGCTAATGGTATATAAATTTAATGCTATTGATAAATAAGGATGTAACGCTGCAGTAATTGCATAACGTTCTTCAACGAAATGTAAACCGTGCTCAATTGGATTCAGATTTCCGGTAAAATACTTTTAGCTAAATTTAAAAGAGGTCCCATTAAGATAAGTTTTTAATTTATTGTTCCCAATTAGAAAATCTTAAACGGATCGACCGGAGTAGAACAAGATTAATATAAAAACATTTTCTTTCAAGATTGTAAGGCGGAAAATTGCCATGACTTATAATGAAGGCCGTACTTACTTACATTTCCGTCATCTAAGAGCATAAACAGGAAGAAAACTAGAGTACTTTAAGCTTAACTTGAATGCAATTATATTTAGTATCTGTGCTGTGGAATAACTGTTTTTAAAAGATCAACCGAGTTTGACCTGTGGCTGTTGTCAATACTACTAGAAGAAAACAATCTAATTTCTAACACTGAGCTTTTGCAATAAGTTAACATTTTTCTCTTCTCATTCTTACCTAAATTCCAGGCTGTTCTTATTTGTAATAGAATCTAAGATACATTCTAGAATTAAGGTTTCACGGCAGGATTAAAAGAGGATTGTATTCCAAGTTTTTTTGACAGGTACCAATCGAATTACAGGTGCTATGTCGACGAGAAACAATTTGTTTGAAAACGTGTATGTGCAACTTACTCATAAAAAATTAAATACCATCGGAATAAACACACAACTGACTCGAATCTAACTGAGTTTAGCTCCCCCAACTAAGACTAGTGAAAATTACATAGTTCAATAATCATCCAGAATGGGTATCTGTGAAGATACAAGACCTCCAATTCGAGTCCGACGCCATCTTATTAAGTTAATCATAGGAGTTGGTCTTGGAGTTGTTCTTTTACTGGGATTAGCTGTTGTATTTCGTAACGATCCTCCCATGAGAAATCTCCGAAAGCGTTTTATGATGGGCAGGTAGGATTCACAGATGAAAATATCTACTCTTTATTCTAACTTTTATTAATATAGTTAAAGATAAATTAGGAAAATAATCCTGTTTTTGTGTAGTTCTTTCAACTGGTCTAATAATAAGACTCGACGAGAAAATTGGTAAACTGTTAAATGTATCAAATGTTATTGCAAGCAAGTTATTGAAGTCACGTGAAAAGAGAGTTATTCGTTTAGCGTAACTATAGCAAATGATCATTAGCTGTATTTTATCTTTACGACTGTATATCTTTGTTTAATGAATGGGGTTTTACTTTAGTTCAAAATCTATTATTTTTGAATTATCGATGATTGTTATGACTTGTAGCTTTTGCCAAAGAAATTCAAGGAAAATACCCAAAATTATTGGAATAATTTGGCTGATAATTGTTAGAAAGCCCAGATAGCTGTTGCAGTTCAGGTTCACCATGTCTTTTTGTCCCTTGTTTTGACATGGTTTGGTAGGCTGAACAGGGCGAAGTGCTATTATAAGTATCAACTAAGATGAAAATATGAACATGCTTTCCTTGATCCTATACAAAGGGTGTCAATAGGGGTACCCAATTGTCAGTTAATTACTATTTTTTTGGCCGAATGTCAGTTAACTAATAATTTTACATGCGCTGACCATAAATTTAAACAAAATAATGAAATGTCAGTTTAGATAAAATTTGTCAGTTAAGTCACTATTTTTTGGCCAATTGTGCAGTAAACCTAACCCTCGATATAGTAATACTGTAAATTACGAAAGAAATCCCATATAAAGAAACTTTCATATAAAGAGTTTTAAGCCAATCGTGTTTTTTTCCTGGCGGTATTGAACTCTTGCCCAGTAAAAGAGCATATGGCATAAAAGAATGTATGTCGTTGTTATGGCAACAGCTGGCACGTGCATAAACGATGTTATAATTTAATGTTTATCACCTGGGGAATCAGAGGAGGAATTTTGTTGCAACAACAACATAAAGATTAACTGAATCCCCCCCTCCCCCCTCCCCCCTCTCCCTTCCNCCCCCTCCCCCCAAATCTAAATTTAGACGATAAATAATCACTGGTTACCCAAAAAAATCTTTTGTTTTCTTTTTGGCGATGGTCTTTCCTTTCTTTCTTTCTTTTTTCTTTCCTTTCTCTATTATCCATTTCTTTTTCTTTTCTTTTTCTTTTTTAAAATAAAGTATGACGTCGCACAGCAACAAAATCCCAAGCAGGCAATACCACTACTCGCATGCTGCCGTAGCAGCAGACAACCCCGAGTGCTCAAAGATTGGTAGAGACGCTCTAATGCGAGGTGGTTCAGCAGTCGATGCCGCTGTTGCTACCATGTTATGCGTTGGGGTGATCAACCTGCATTCTACAGGCATTGGAGGAGGAGGGTTTATGGTTGTTTACGATAAACACCGAAAAAAGGGCGAAATGATAGACTTCAGGGAAACTGCTCCTCAGCTGGCTAACAGGGACCTCTTTCAAGGAGACGCTGTAAAAGGAATCAAAGGTATTCGTTGAATATAAGGGCGAACCCCAAGGGTACTGGGGTACCTGTGATCCTTCTTCCTATAGATGTATGCATCTTCTTACTGATACGGCGGCCGTCTTAAATTATGGGATGTCGAGGGGACAATAACGTAGAAAATTTATAAAGCAAAACGCGGCGAATGTTTTCGAAAATTTAAAATTTTCGTGTTTCGCATATTGTTCCAATCTCTATTTAGCGGAGACCCTTTAATAACCCGACACGAGGTCAGATCCCGAAGGTGCCCGCTTAATACAGGTACTTTTGTATAGTTGTCCAAACGACAGGAGAGTAAGTTGAATTGCAAGAACTCTCAGACGGGGGACCCTCACAGCGGTTTGATTGAAAATATTCACTGAGCTCCCTATCATTTTCTATCACATCAGGTGGTCTTGCAGTAGCCGTCCCAGGCGAGTTACGTGGAATGGAAGCTGCTTGGAAAAAGTATGGCAGACTGCCGTGGAAAGACTTGTTTGCACCGTCAATCAAACTTGCTAAGGAAGGATTCCCGATGCCGGAGACTGTCAACATCGCTATTAATATTTGGAAAAAAGTGCTTGTCAAAGACAAAGGTTTCAGGTGTGTTTTAGATTCTTAAATAATAGTAGGTAGCTACCAAAAAGAAGGTCGATAAGCATCATGGGTACATACATATTACAACTTTCAGCTATAAATTGGAAAGCTAAAAACTTGAAATCGATATTACCACAAGGTTACGGGCAAGAGATCTAATCTCATTTGGGTTCTCAGTATTTTCTTTATTTATTACCTAATTGAAAAAACGTTGTCGGGTTCAAAAAAAGGTTATATCATCAAAGCTAATACCGAAGGGGAGCATGGGAAGACAAACAATGATGCTAATTTCATGCGTATTGCAGTTTTCCCTTCCTGTGCACATCTTATGCATCATGGTTTTGGCATGTTGTTAATCTAGGTCGACCGACCTTGCTCTACTGTGCATTTTTACATGTCTDTATGCAAATATAATACACATTTCGGAGTACCCAAAATCCTTTTCGGTCTTAGCTTCGATGATATGACCTTCTCGAACCCGACTACGTTCTTTCAATTAGGTGTATACGGATACAATCATATGTATATATAATTACGAAGCTACCTCTAACCAAAGAGAGCTGCTCAGTCACGGCGCGTGCGACAAAGTAGTGCCCAATCCCCCACTCGCCTGCCAAGCTCTACTAATTACTGTTTGGGGCGGAACGCAGCTCTAAGAAGATCTAACCCAATAAGCCTGAAGCGAGATGAAGTTTTACCCCCGACTCTATACCATAATAGTTTTTAAAATTCTTTCATATTAAAATTTTTGATTCCTTAGAGAATACAGGAACAATAGTCATAATTAAAGAACAAAAGCAGTGTGAAAAGGATTATGGTCTAGAGACGGGGGTAAAACGTCATCTCGCTTCAGTCTATATTGGATGAATACAATAGAACGAGAAACAATATGAACAAAACAATAGAACGAGTCAACAATGAAAACTATTGTTTGTCTTGGTCAATCTCGACAGCTATTCTTAGCGGGTGTGACATTACGATCCTCATTAGCCTCAAGTTTGAAACTTTTTGATGCTTAAATTTATCAAAATAAATAAATATAAATCTGGCATAAATTTTGGAATCACAGTTTCGTGATGACACGACAATCCTAAGAACGTCTTCTTAGGTAGCTAAATCAAGGATGTAGCTTAGAAGATAAGACCTATATCAGAGCACGGCTCATAAATCTGATAACTTATAAATGGGATTGGAATTTAACGTGCTTGGATTTGAGGAGGGAGGAAAACTGAAATCAAGAAAGAGACTCAAGAAACTCTAGTCACATGTAATTGCGGGATGCTCCTTAGCTTTATCCGTACGACCCATAAAGCATTTTAAACAATTATTTGAAGCGAACTATTTCATTTGTGTTATGAACTTTTTTGGGCCATTTTCTTTAAACTTTATGATTATTTCAGGAGAGTATTCATGCCACATGGCAAACTCCTAAAAACTGGAGACACCATTAAACGTCCACGTCTTGCTAAAGTGTTGGCAACGATATCAAGAGCTGGTAACGCCAATCCTTTCTACCGTGGGAAGCTTAGTCCAACTTTAGTCAATGATGTTAAAGCTGCTGGTGGTGTGCTGACATTAAGTGACCTCAAGCACTACAAAGTCAAATTCAGGCCAGTTCTTAAGAGCAATATTGGGAGCTACACATTGTTGACCGGACCGCCTCCCACAGCTGGGCCTGTGCTTGCTATGATCCTCAACATACTATCAGGTAAGAGTAAACCTTTTTCTTAGCTGTGCACTCATTACAAATCCAAGGATCTGGTCGGTAAGAAGTGAGAATTGGAATCTTTGGATTACAATCGTTGCATAATTTTACAAAATTTTAATTTTCTAAAACCTTGGAGGTCATTTAGAGTAAACTCTAGGAAACTCCCCAAAAAATTAACAGGCACCCACTGCTTTGAAGTGCTCCTTCAAATGCATTCAAAACAGAAGTTCATAGCTAACTAGCTATAAACTTCTGATTCAAAAGTATTTCAGTTTTTTAATGCAGTCCTATGGAGGCGGTGGCGCAACGAAAGTCCAAGATCGAGTAGAAAGGCGAGCGCGCGAGTTCCCATGGATTTTTCCATACGTCGGTTCACTGGTCAATTAAATACAAAGCATTCAGTCGAGGTTACAAGGTTCAAATTTGAATAATCCTTTGAAAGTATCTTGGCGCCTCACTTGAGCGCTTTGTGTTGACCAGTGAACCGATGTATGGAAAAATCCATGGGAACTCTATCAACACAAGTCGCCGAAAGGAACATTTATAGCATGCCTGGAAAGTAGCTTTTAGCTAAGCATATTGTATTGTGAAGCTTTTTAAAAGGTTGCCCTTCATTTATTTCGACAGCTGAGCTTATGGAATGAATCTTCAAATGGTATTTGGTGCCCTTTATTCAAGTTAAACAACCTGGAAATGCAGAAATCTAACATATATGTCTCTCTGTGTTTAGGATACAAGTTCAAATCATCAGACCTCAAAAAGCACCCAGTTCGCACATATCACAGAATAGTTGAGGCCTTTAAGTTTGCCTACAAGTATCGATCAATGATGGGCGATCCTGAATACGAGAAGAGCGTAGACGCCGTAAGTACCTGAAATACTTATTTTTAATGCTAAATACAATGCGATCTTTAAAAAATTGTATTGTGGCAATGTATAACATACTAAGTCGCTCCCACTTGAATCTGAACGATGGCACTATTGCCCAAAGCAGCAAATTTATACATTTTTGGAGGTAACTTTTTACAACTGCGACTCCATCTATTGATTGCACTGCAAGTTTTCACGGAATATGCCAAGGCTAACCGCTCTCAGGGTATCAAGGGTGACATAGCGGTAATAGATGCACTCGGGGCTCTCGGGTTTGATTCTTAGACTCGGCATCATATGTGAGTAGAGTTTATTGGTATCTCTCTTGATTCGAAGGGTTTTTTTTCCCCGGGTTCTCCGAATCATTTTCCTTCCACTGTAAAATCTACCCGAAATTCTAATTCGATCTGGGAGTTAATTAGCCGTATGCATTGATCAGTCCAGAGGTTTTTTTTCAAAATACCAATAAATTTCGAAAAGGTATTTTTTCTCAGCAATAGGTCTTTTGAAAGTACCAAAAACGTACTTAATATAAAGGTATTATTATTACTTTTTGTAGGTCGTACACGACATGATGAGTGAGAAGTTGGCTAAAGATATTCGATACATGATCTGGGACAACCAAACTCATTCACAAGCGTATTACGGAAAGCGTTACCACGTGCCTATCAAGACAGGAACGACTCATTTGACCGTGTTGGGACCTCTTGGGGATGCTGTCTCCGTTACCAGTACTGTCAATGGATAGTAAGTTGTATTTATCGTACTTTAAAGCAAACGAGAGATTGTAGGCTGTTAATGAGGTTCATAAGATTCATTCATCTGATTGATGCCAAGAAATAGAATACTCTCTGGTTGATAGCACATGACGGGCAGTGCTTGACTGTCATTGTAGGCTGGTAATGAGATTCATAAGCTTCATTCAGCTGATTGATAACAAGCAACAAAACACTATTTGGTTGACAGGCATGACGAGCAAATTTTTTTCCTCCCATAGCTTCGGTGCAAAGTTCTTGTCTACCAGACTTGGCATTGTCTATAACAACGAGATGGATGACTTTAGTGCTCCTGGTATCACAAATGAGTTCGGTCTTCTCCCATCCCCAGTCAACTTCATTAAGCCAGGCAAACGCCCTCAGTCTTCAGCCGTACCAGCTATTATAATAGACAAGGATGGTCAGGTCATGATGGCAGTTGGCGGTGCTGGAGGGACTATCATCACAACAGCTGTAGCAAATGTAAGGAGATGGTTCAAAAAAGGAAAAGCTTTTTACGCTTGTTTTTTTTTTCTCTAGTAAGGTATAGCACAACACCAGCATTTAACTCGCAGGCAACAAAGTTGCTGTATGTTGAGGAATGAAAGCTGCTTGTATTAACACTTTGCGCGCGCACATTTTCCTTATTATTGTAGGGCGGGCTAACTACTCTTATAAAAGAAAATGGTAAATATGTATTTGATTCTATCATTAAAAGCTTTCTTTTTGCCGAGCGCTTTAATACTCAAGTTTAGAGATCTCTTTGCTCAGCCTTAGCCTCGGTCGTGCGTTAAATATTCAACCAAAGTCCATGGCATTTTAAACCATGGCATTTTAACCAACTTGTATCGTTCCGTAGTATATACATTCCTTACTATACAATGGACCTTAAAGTGTATATGACACGAAAACATTCCATCATTTAAAATGTATAGTTTGTTAGTAATAATAAATATATCGTAACAAAATTTGTTTCAAAAGCTTATTTCTTGAGATATTTGCGAAAGTTAATCCCAATTTGTGACGTCATTTTGTTGACACGTACTCTAGATTCAGTAGTAATGTACTAAATATAAATTGTAATTCATATAAATTAACAACAAAGGACATATTTTAGTCAGCTTCATTTGATAGCTTACGTAGTACTCTTCCAATGTTGGGAAACTGAAAAGTGTACTACTTGAAATTAAGATTCTATATTCAAACATATTTCATGTATTTGCAACTAAATCTGGAGACTTGTAAACAAAATGACGTCACAACTCGTGCTAAAATTTTTTGAATTTCTAGAGAAATGCTTTTTTGGAACAAATTTAACCGTGATATTCTTATTAATGCCAATAAACTACACATTCTTAACATTAAAATTTTTTCGTGTCATATGCACTTTAACGAAAGAAAAGAACACATTTGCCGAACACCGTCAAAGCCAAGGATGAGCAAAGGCAAATCCGAAATGGGAGTAATCTTGTGGGGTGGGGAAAATGACAAAAGCTACAAAAGCGCACGGCACAAGACGAGAAAGAACACTGGACAGAATCAAAAACGTATTCATGTTTTCCTTTTATAGCAGTGGTAAGCCTGTGGTTGCACGAAGAGGCTTTCTTTACTGCATGATTTCCTGCAACAAAGAAAATGTTTTGCGCGCGAAGTGGTCGTACGTACGGTCAACGCAACAATGCCGTTGCACGATGTCCCACGATTTCGAAGCCTGTATAACTTTAAGGCAATGTACGTCTACTAAACGTGCTTTGGGGAATAAATTTGGAGGGGTGGAATAAATGATTAGGTTAGGTTAGCAGGGACTGACCTCTACAACTGCGATACTATTTTCAAATCATTAATTAAACGTGACTGTTTTCAATTTTCCCAGGTGATAATGAATTATTTCTGGTTTAAGAGGAATCTACATCGCTCGGTCACAATGGCACGACTACACGATCAACTCTATCCCGAGTATGTATTCGCTGAAACATGGTTCCCTAACGACATTGTCAATGGTCTCCGTTCTCTAGGACATAAGGTAAACCAACCATCCAATAGAGGCTTTGCACCATCACGTGATGGCAGCTACGTTAGATGGCAGGAACAATACAATCATCTTACATTGGAAGGAATTACATTAGAAGGAATTAAATTTCCAAGAGCACAGGGATTTTATTGCTCTGCCATCTAACCACAGGCAGTCCAAGCTGCGTTGTAAGCGTGAGCACGTGATGGTGTAAAACCTATATTCTTCGAATGCACATTGTTATCGCATCCATAATAGTAAAACTCTCATCTATCGTATCTTCATGTGGTTTTATCGGACTACAAAGTGTTCACGAAGACACGCTCGTCTATCGTGTCGTCTYGTCTTTTGGAAAATCCACAATCTCGTACCCAGAACCTGCGTTTCTTCTGGCCTGCGGCGGAGAACGAATGCTGCAGACCAAAAGAAACGCATGCTCTGGGTACGACATGGGAAAATCCAGACCTACAGTCATACGCAGTAGCCCAAAAAACGAATAGTAAAGCGACCACCATTTATAACTTACACTTGCCAACTTGTTTTAATGCCATTACTTGGTTATATTTCAGGTGAATGTGAGCGACATTAGCCATGGTGTCGTCCAGGCCGTCGCTAAGAATCCATACAAATATCTTCCAAGTGATGTTCATGGTAAAAGAAAAGGTTACGTACATAGAATCTTGTCACAGATTTATGCCGAGTCAGACCATAGAAAAGGGGGATTACCTGCTGGATATTAACAATATAAAAAGTAACCATAATTTCACGTCCATCAGAGCAGATATTTTTTTAAACGTTTTATTCAGTGAATGGCGTACGTATTACGAACTCGGCCCATGGGCCCGTTCCAAAGTACTTTGAGGGGGTGTCAATGGGGTTAGTTAACTGATAATTAATGGCCAAAAAATAGTCGTTAACTAACAAATAACCTAAAATTAGTAATTAACAGTTACCGGCGTTTGCATTGCTACGCGGCCACCCCAGACGTACACTTTGCAATAGACTGCCGTCAATCAGACACGTTGACGTCATTTACACGCGTGTGTGATTCAAAAGGCGCCAAAACTTGTCGATTGTTTACAAGTATTATGAGCCACACTCACCGGGCCTATCCGGGCCGATCCAAACGCGTGTAAATGACGTCAACGTGTTTGATTGACGGCAGTCTATTGCAAATTGCATGTCGCGATTTTGTCTGCGGTGGCCGCGTAGCAATGCAAACGCCGATAACTGATATATATTTCATCATTTTGGTTAATATTGTGGTCAGTCAAAATTATCAGTTAACTGACATTCGGCCGAAAAATTACTAGTTAACTGACAACTGGGTACCCCCATTGGCACCCTTTATGCTTTACCTTATATATATAGAAAATATTGCCAAGTTGGAAGAAAACTTTTTTTAAACCGTGTAATTTTAAAGTCGTAGCAAAAACTATATTCGGAATTAGTGGGGAAAAAAGATTAAAAATTTCTCCAGGTGGTAGATGAGTAGTAAAATTACGTGTTTTTGGCGATGTTTGCAAAAGGTGAAGTGAAATGAAGGAGAACGATGAAAACGTCATGTCTGTCGTTTGCAGGAAGAAAAACCTGATGTTAATATGTACTTCACAAGGACTTTTACCTTTGTCTATTTACCACTCTTTTCACAGCTACGCGCTGATCGGACAACAGTCGCAACAGGGAAATAGGGCAATACACTGCCGCCAATCAGAGAATGTAAAGGTACCGACCAATATATTTGATTGATGGAAGTGTATTGCCCAATTTCCCTGTTGCGACTGTTGTCTCGATCAGCGCAGAGCAATGAAAAGAGTGGTAAAGGGAGAAAGGGGGCAAAATGTTGTAAAATTTAACTATGAAATGGAAAGAGAACAGAATACTTTGGAACGGGAGTATATATAATAAAAATGCTACGAAAACAAGCAGTAACGAATATTTACGACTATGCAAAAGCAGAGAGTCCAAAACTGGACTCACTTCTTTAGATCACTATAGAATACTTGGCGTGAATATTGAAGAAAGGTTTTAAGTGCGCGCGCACGTGGCTGTAGAAAATTTCAGTTTTACTTGCCCCAGTCCTCCATTTGCTTACTCTGTCCTTGTAGGTCGCGCGCTCGAGGAGATGAAATTGGGTCCAGTTCTAGACTAATGAAAGCAGACATTGAAATGAATGGGTTGTTCATACAGTAAAACGTCTAGTAACGACTGACTAACTACGTCCACAGTCAGATTATGAAGACTAACTTCTTCAGAACCCTCCTGGTTTTCCATGTTTCCTAGGGTCTGACTTTGCGTAGATAGACATCCCTCGTGTTGCTATGGCTTGGACTGCTGCGTAATATCTCAGATCTTCTAATTCGTGGCCGCGAGCCTCAAGCCCTTTTTTAACTCCTTCCGGGAAGTTCTTCTCGACTTCTAGGGTGTTGTTCGGGACAAGGTTCGTGTGTATTCTTGGTTCTTCTACAGCCGCGGATATCTCGCGATCAAACCATAGCCAATCAATGATTGTCTGTAAATAAGGCAAGGAAAAATAGTCGATGTTAAACTGTTTGCCGGGTCTTGCCGCATACGCGGCTATTTCAAAAAAGGGTGGCAAAGGTGAGCGTTGCGTGACGACACTAATAGCGGCTGCGTAGGAGACTATCGCTATGTGTGATATAACTCTTTCGCCATCAACATTGCAAACAAAATTTGCAACGTGTGTTATGCTCATTAATTTATTCTATTCACCTTTCATGATTATGACGCCTTTAATTCTACAGCTATTTCAAACAAGGTTGTGATAGGTTGTGATACGTACTATTTGCGATCACAGCGAAAGCTCGCAATGGAATTTTACCAAACTTTGTCTGCACGTTTCACCGGCATATTTTTTTCTGTGTTCTGGCATTATTTACATATGATCCACAAAACATTTCAAGCTCAGTAAAAGCAGCATGCAACAAAACCTTTACCAACCTTCTCTTGAAACAGCTGCATGTATACATGTGATTATAATGATTATTTTATTCACTAACCAATGCTGTAGCAGTAAGAATCTTCTTTCCTCCAGAAGCGCCAACAATAAGCTCTACATTGCCATCTTTATCTGTAATAATTACTGGAGTCATGGACGAAAGTGGACGCTTGCCTGGAGCAGGAAAGTTCAATTGTGAAGGATAAATACCACTGATGTTCTTGTCTCCAGGATTATCAAAGTCAGCCATTCCATCGTTGTAGATAATGCCGGTCGATGTTGAACGAAACATGCAGCCAAACCTTCATAACATTAAAATGATAATAACAATTTTGATTTGTCTACATGAATAAGGCATGAGGAAATCATGTAAATGAAACCCATTCAATAAGCCAATTTTCTAGCCTCCTTTGAGGGATATGAGAGACCGACACAAATAACGTCTGCAAAGGAGGCTACCAATTTTCCGGTTAACTGAAAATATAGTTATCCAACCTTGCATGTAAACACGAAAAACGAGGTGTTTAAAATGCCACTTCGTCGACTGCAAGTTAGTCTTGAATATCTCAACATTAACTTCTGTGTTTGACGAGAAAATTAGTTAGAAACAAGTTATTCCAGTTATTCATGGATTTTGGAATGGCTTAGTACATTAGTACTATCACATATCTAGCTCCTTTGGCTTCGACAAAAAGAAGCTTCTACTTTTGTATTTTATTTACCTGAAATTGATACTCGAGGTCAAAGACACAGCATCGCCATTTGGTGCCAAAACCACTAAATGTGAGGTTCCGTGGTCAACCTTAGTGAAAAAGTCAGCGTAGTATGACACGTGGTGTGTCGTATTGTCCCATATTTTCTTGCGTAAGAAGTCACCGGTTGCAGGATTGAGAAGCTCCCTCACAACCTAAGCAAGTTCGGTAAAAGAAAATAAGTTCCATAACATAGTGTAAGCAATATTGTATAAATTTCATTCAAAATTATCTGTATTAATCTGAAGAGGAAGCCTACAAGTTTGTAAGGCAATGACAGAAAAGACCTTTGCAGCTAAATGGTTTTTTCCATGGTTTATGTGATGGGGTTCCTGTGGATTTTGCGGGAATTTTTCGGCGCCAAAACGCGCTTGCTTGCCCCCTCTTGCTACACTAGTACGATTCATAAGTAAGTATTTACTGCACCTGTGAGACGTTGACGAAATCCGGGTCTGCTAGTCTGCTTCGATAGGCAAATGCAAACTTGAACGCCTCTGCTATTCGATGGTACGCTAGGGACGAAGCGTTGACGTTGGAACGATCCTTTGCTGTCATGTTGTAACCTGATGAAATTCAGTCTTATTAGAACGAGAAAGAAAGAAGGAAGGAAGGAAGGAAGGAAGGAAGGAAG